AGTAATGTACTAGAAGGCCGAAGCTGAATCACGTCTATGGTGGCAGCTAAGCAAAGTACTAAGGGGCGCAGCTAAGTGTAGTGCTAGGGGGCGCAGCTGAATCTTCTTTGAAGACGGTTGTTTTTGTTTAATTACTTTTGTAAACATTAGTTAAACATCCTTGATGTAACTATTTTGGTGTTTTTTTTTTTAGTTAAACATCTGTTGATGTAACTATTTTCTTTTGTAACGTAGTGGAACATCTATTGATGTCACGCAAGGGTTGTGTTTGGGGTAAACGAACCTAATTTTATTTTACAGGTTTTAAAATATGTTTTTTTTGGTTCCGTCCTTTCATTATTTCCATTTCTGGTGTTACTTAGTAAATACTATTTACTGAATAGCTTAATTTTTAGGAGCTAGATCTTCATAGACTATGTTCTGCTATTCGTTGTGTCTTGAGAGACTTTGAAAAGTGCAAATTTACTTTTTAGAAGTGTATTGGGAACAGTTTTTTTTGGTATATTCAGAGCTAGTCATTGTCGATTACTTTTTTCATATTACAGCAGGCCAATACAAGGTAGCCTATATTTTGGTTTAAAAAAAAAATTGTTTTGTCAGTCTTTCCAATTTTATTTCTCCATTAAAGGTTTTGTTTATTTAGGAGTAATTGGTGAATTGTTTGAGTCTGGTGAAAGAATGTTGATTGTGTTTTATTAATATGATTTTTTTTGTGAACCATTTTACATGTTTTGATTTGTTTTTGCTATACACCAATCAATGCAAAAAAAATTGACGAGTGCACTATCCATGGATACGATGAGCTCCACTTCATTTGGGACACGGAACTGGAAGGGATGAACTTTACTACATTTGATGAATGGAGACGGTACCTGATTTTAACAATTGAGGAAGTAAGACGTGTAGCTGACTCAAGACATGGACTGGACAATATTCTAAGGGGCGTACATGGTTATTCCAAGTCATAAATACTATGAGCAGGATGGAAATGGAATGATTAAACGGACTGACATACGTCTTCATTCCTTCATTACAATAATGTTTTCCAGGTGGGTTCTTTTCATTTTATTGATTTTACTAATTTATCCATTTTATTTTGACTGGGTCCCTACTGTATTTCTATTTTATTTTATTGTTATTTTTTTTTATTATTTATTTATATTATTATTACGATAAAACCCTGATATTATTTGTTTTCTTTTTTATGTATGATATTCCTGACTGAGAACAACAAGCCCTACGTTCAGATGAGTTCGGCCAAATTTGACGCGAAGGATGTTGAAAGTTTGCCAAGCCTCCAAGAGTCCGTCTGCCAATCTTCCAAAGGGGCGTCTGTAAGGGTCCTGTAGTATATAAACTTCTAAATTCAAATTTGGCGCTATTTTAACCAAATTTTGAATAATCCACGAAAAAATAATATTATAGTTATAAGTTATTTTATGTTTTAAAAAACTATTGAGTCTTAAAATTCCACTTCTTTGTATCTGAACGTAGAAATATTATGAAGACTTGTTTATGTAACACATTCTTGCTTAAGTGGCATAGAGTTTAAAAGCGAGATTAGGAAATATAATACACACAGAGGGTTTTTGCTCGCCCTTCGAGATACTCCTGTTAAACCGTTTGTGAAATATATTAAGTATAATATAGTTATAGTTTTTGTGATTGTTACCGATTTTCTGCTATAACTACTTAGGTATGTACACTTTGAAAAATTGTAAATTTGCTAGTAATGATAAACAACTCCTCGTTTTTTGCTTATAATTTGCTTATAATTTTGAACAATATTATTTAATTCGCATTTTTGTCTATGACGTTTATCATTGCTAGTTTATTGGGTCCTAATCATTTTAATATGTGTAAATAGCGAGTGATTTTTGGTAATAATTTTTATTGTATCACTATTTCATTATTTTGGTTTAATATCTTGGGATCGCGCATACACTGAGTTTAAATCTTTATGTTGTCGCGTTTATCATATGCACTGAAGTACATTTACCTTAAGGTAATTTAATTAAATATTACTATTTTGTATTGTCTTTATTTTGAGTTATACTGGCCTTGATTTTGTTGTTTCCTTTTTTATAACTTTGTATAACTTTTTATTTAACTGAAATGTATTTTATTGTTTATGAAACTCAGTGTATCATCTCGGTATTAAGGTATTTATTTATTTTAACTCTTTGCATTTGTACTCAGGCTAAAGCTTTTAACAATAATATTATTAGGTATTATAATATTGGTATTATTTGGGTAAGGTTTATAAATTATTATTATTATTATTATTATTATTATTATTGCTCTTATTATTATTATTAAATTTGATATTACCATTAGGTCATATCATGGTAAGGTAATAGTATCGTTTAACCTTTTGATAGATTCTGGATAGAGACTTTGATTTAAACTGCTTATCTTAGCGCTTTATTTGGAATATTTGATAATGGCTTTAACGTTACTATATATGATAAAAATCTCTTTATGTTATTATTCAGCGCGATACTTTCTGGTGGTTAGAGTTTTGGCCATGTTCAGGTGTTTCTTGTTATGACTCTCTCCTATTTATTATTTTATTGTATTTTATTTATATTTTATACCATTTTATTTTATTGCATATTGTTTATTTTATTTGTGTCTGTATTTGTACTTGTATTTTCGTTTGGAGAGTGCTCATACATGAATATTTGAACATGGGTAATATATTAGCATTATTTCAAAAGGATTTATCCTTAGAAGAAAAATAGTGTTTTTATGTTATTACCTATATAAACTCTGTGTGCAGAATTGTTTGTATATTTTTACAATACTGTTGTCTTGTGCTGGACATTGATTTTGTGAGAATATTTGAACATATTGTGATATAGGGATACTATAGTGAGATAAGGACATTAGGTTTCGTTATATCACTTCACAGAGATGCTATTGTTCCATAGTGTGGTTATTGGCTACGGTTAAATATCTGCATTAGATTATATTTTTCCATGTTTCCCCTCCCCTTTAAAGGCATTTGAATTCTCTCTATCAGAAATATGTCGTTGCTGTAGTTTATTTATATAAAATCGTGTCTTCGTTCAATAGTTCGAAGATGCGTGGTAAGGTAATCAAATAAACAAACACTTCGTCATAAAATGACGATCTCTATTATAACTATTTTACCTGAGTACAAAATGTTTTGAATATTGATAAAAACACCCAAACTATATGAAATATGTTTATCTGCTTTTCATGTTATTTTATTCACTCATTATTTATACTGTATTCTTGTGATTGTGACCCATATGACTATGTTTTGTTTTGTATTTTATTTTTATTTGAACTGTGTAAGTCGCCAGGGTTTTTATGGTCCCTTTTCCCTGTGCTTTGACTCAACGGGCCACCCCTTTGTCTTTGCTTAAATTAAATCAGGGGTTTAAAAATTAAATGCTTGTGTTTCATTAAACCTGACCAATTTCAAAGTAACGTTATTATCAATGTAAGTAAATACACAACGTAGAGTCCTAATTTTTATAAAGTAAGTAAATTAACTAGACGATCACGAACATGCCAAATTAAGTATTTCAGTATACTTAAAGAATCGGGTTACGAAAATATATAGGGTATCTTACAGGTAGGTAATTTGTATACCCGGATAGTTAAGACTAGAAATGTGCTTAAGTTTTGTTAGTACCTATGTAAGTACATGAGAATTATATTTTTTGTTAATAAACATTTTAATACCTATAATAAACATTTCAATACCTATACCTATAATAAACATTTTAATACCTATACACAAATTGTTAAGTGGCCACAACTGGTGAAATCCGTGACCACAACCGGTACAAAGGTGGTCACAACTGGTGAAATGAACGCTTTTCGCTCTTGTTTAATTTTTTGATACGTTAGATATTTCCTACCTTATTTAGCTCATAAGCTTTCGGTTCAGGAACCTGTCGCGTTTCTTGTTGTGTATCTGACGTGTTAAAACAGATATATATGCGAAAGTTATGTTTAATTAAAATTCAAAAGTTGCTTAATGTGGCCACAACCGGTACATTTACCCTAATCGGCGATGAGTCATCACTCCGATATCCAGGGCGGTACTCGCTACAATATGAAATTAATTTCTTCATTCGGATTAACACTGTTTATTGGAAAACCGATAAAAACTCAACCCAGGATTTCCTCTCGAAATACACCCAACAACACAACAAATCGCCACGGTTTTGTTTTCGGTATTTTTTAAAATTTTCCGGCTTTATTCTCAAAAACACTCGTTTGTAACATACGCGTTTGACAGCTGATTTATTATATAATTATGATTATAATCAGCTGTCAAACGCGTATGTTACAAACGAGTGTTTTTGAGAATAAAGCCGGAAAATTTTAAAAAATACCGAAAACATAATTATATAATAATATATATAATTATCAAAAGTTGTACTTTTGTTACGATGATAACAGCCGAGTGGTGGCGCTACTAGCGATACTTCTTTAGCGTATATATTAATTATTAAAATTACATTACAGACAAGTGGAATAAAAAATGTATTAATATTGCGCAAAAAATTAGGATTTTCATCAAATTAAAAAAAAAATCCTGAAAATAAGTAATAAATTTTTTTAACCTTACATTTTGATCATCAGATGCAGGGTGGAAGACCTGATCAGATGGTTAAGACCCTGATCAGATGGTTAATTTTCATAAGTGTAAAATACCATTTGTTATTATCAAAAACAAAGCAATGCGAAAAACCGTAAAAACGCAACCTAGATTACACGTGGATGGGGTTCACTTTATGTATTATACTGTGGTAATACTGGTTGCCTACCTGCATTAAACATTTTCACATTTTTAAAATGTTCTCAACATTTTGTTAGAATTCCAACATATTTTTTAATAAAAAAAAGCTAAAAAAGTTTAAAATATTAATTTTTTTATTAAAGGTATAGCTATAAAATATTTTTAAATATATAAATTACTTGACTTGAATAAAAAAAAGCTAAAAAAGTTTAAAATATTAATTTTTTTATTAAAGGTATAGCTATAAAATATTTTTAAATATATAAATTACTTGACATAGTCGGTATTTTAGCACCAGAAATAAACCTGTGCTTGGGATCAACAAATAAAACTGAAAACCCCATTTTTTTAACCATCTCTAGAACAGGGCCAGTATTTCTAGAATCTAAAGGTGAGTTATCCATATAAACAACAAAAAGTTCACAACTCAAATCAAAATGTTTACAATATGACAAAACACTTGCACCTAACCCTGTTACTAAATTTGGTATTTCGAGATTTATACACCCCAATGTGTTTGATTTGTTGGTTAAAGATCGTAGAACAACCTCTGGTTTTTCATGCATGTCATTATTTTGGTATGATGAAATGGAGTCTGATGTTACAGTGTATACTGATTTTGCATTGCTAATCCAGTCTTTTAGTATTTCAATTATCTAGAAATAATTTTTTATTATATTTTAGTTTTATAATACAATTAATTACCTCTCCATTGCAATATGTTGTTTGTTCTTCAACCAAAACTATATATTTATCACCAGCAAAATTATAAACCTTTAAACCACCATTATTTAACTTCTTTATGGGTTTTTCATCACCAATAACAAACTTCTTTATTAATGTGGTAATTTTATTACTTTCTATAAAAAGTAGTGTATTTATGTTTTTTAAAGTAGAATCTCCATCCCATACAGGCTCAACTCTAAAATAATATCAATCATAACACTTGAAATCTTTTGATAAACAACAAATATATACTTTGTATAATTCGGATATTCCTCTTCATCATAAATAAGCGCTCTTGTGCTGGGTTCAACAATTTCACCAAACAACATACTAAAATTGTTAAAAAACGCTGCTATTTACCCTTTGAAGTATATTTCTTTTAATTAAATAACTGCACCGACTCAAACTGACTGGCAAGTTTAAAAAAGTGAGGTTAAGAAAAGACGTCAGAAACAGCTCCATCTAAATTCTTTTTTAAATAATAGGATTTCACCAAGATGTCTAGACGAAAAGGTAAATTTATGACGTCATTTATTTGCGAGCATGCATATTTTTTAAAATGGTCTTTAAACAAAGTTTGGACATTTTTGGTAATTTTCGACTAGGAACTTTAGGCTAATCTAGTTGCCTAATTTAATTTATTATGTTATGGTCGGTAAACCAGCGTTTCCAGATTCTGTCAAAAAAGTTGTCAAATTTTGTTTAAATTTAGCTTAATTACAAAAATGACAAAATCAACAATGCAAATTGTTAATTTGGCGTTTTTATTAATTGTTTATTATGTCATTTTTGTAATGAAGGTAAATTGAAAAAAAAATTGGCAACTTTTATGACAGGATCTAGTACATTTCTTTCAAATTTTAGGTTATGTGCTCAAATTGTAAATATCTTAACTAAGGGAAGTGCTTTCGGATTTATTTACACAAACTTAATGTTTAAAGTTTAACCTGTGAACTTTTCCTAATTTCATCTGAGTAAACAGAAAGAAAAGAACCGATGAAAAAATTAATTTTGTGGTTATGGAGTTTTTAAAAGTTAATTTTTTTTATCTGGACTGCGGCAACGTTGCAAATTTAGGGTTTTGGTTGGTAAATACAGTTATCAAGTTGGTCGCATTGATTAAAACAAACTAAGCTAGTTATGTATAAATTATTGTAGGTTACATTGTGCAGTTGTCAAGTTGAGTTGTCGAAATTCGTAGTTAAAAATGCAACTAATTTGGCTTTGGTGGTGCTTGGATGAGTAAAATCATATAAAAAAAGTATTTATAGCTTTACGACCCAGAAGAGAAAGTACTCCTAGCGGATAATAATCTTCGCTTTAAAAAGAATTTATATAAAATAAATTACAATTTTTTGTGAACGTAAATGTTGTCCAATGGTGAATTATGTGAAAATAATGTATGATGTAATATTTATAAAACCAAATTCGTTACTTTTTTACTCCAAAAATGTCCATAAGGCGATGTACTTTTTCTTCAATTGTGGCATTTGGCATTTATAATTTCATCAAAATGAAGTTTTGCCCTCAAAGGGGCTTTTACATTCGAATTCGTTGCTATTATTTTTGGCATAATTATCTTTTTATTTATAATTGACAAGTAAATTATTAATAATAAATATTATTGTCAATTTGACAGTGTCAAAGTATTTAATTAAATTCTATAGCAAAAGTACCATTTTTAAATACTAAAAATACCAAGTCAAACTGGCATAAGCCACCAACCTGTGATCTGTGCCACCAACCTAACAAAAAAACCAAATAAAAAAATTAACTGTACCTACTAAGTTTTCTAATCATAGCTGGATGAGTAATTAAATACAGGGCATAAAACTTTTGTATTTTTTGAGTTTTTATTTATTTATTGCAAGAAAAATTTACTTATGCGGTTTCAGGAATTTTTGCCCTATATAAATAAATCATTAATGATTCAAACTCTAAACAAAAACTAGAAAAAAATTTATTTTGCATATTTTTACAAATAAACATTTTGGTCCAATAAATACAACTCAGTAAGTAAAAATCGCAAATTAAACAAATAAAAACTTAATTTTTAGCCACAAACGGCTGTAATTGCAGCACTACTTCTTTACTCAACGGGAATTCGTGCAAATACTTTTCGAAATGTTTACAGATGTTAAACAAACTTCTCTTCACAGCAGCTGTAACAGCCCCTTTCATTTTATAGTTGAAATCATCGTAACCGACCATTTTCCGCGTTAGAGCCGGGATTTTGTTCAGTCTTTCCAGACTTTGTTTCAGTTCAACCAAACTTGTTATAACCACGGGTAAATCTTTCTGTACGATCCCAAAACGGTCTTCAATTATCGATCTGCATATTAACTCGGATAAACCCTCGCTAGTTTGAATTATTAGATGCCCATTGGCTAAACACTTCTGTATGTTTGCTTGGGGCAACTCGCCAAACATAAAGTTAATCCCCAAGACTACCTTAAGAAGATTGAAGAAGTTAATAATTTTTTCTTGTATTACATGGAATATTGTTTCAGGTAGATTAACGCCCGGTAAGTTTTGATGGGAAATATCCACAATATCCACCAAATCGTTTCCGTATGTCATCGACATGTTCCTAAAGTTTCTGTATCTATTTGACTGCATCGGACTTAGGCACGATGCAGGGCTCATCATGGAACTTTGCGGTGCACTTTTTTCTGGTTGAATTGTATCTGTTGATTTGTTCAGTAATTCTGTATATTCCGCGTACAACTTCAATATGTTTTCAACCAAACCGTTCCAGTTGTGGGGATGGCCTCCAGGTTGTGACAGAGTGAAAAAAACCTGCCTTCTCTCCGGAAACCATTGGGACAATATCTTCAAGTCCAAACATGCCAAACTTTGTATGATGGGGAAGTTGTTCATGTTTATACTTGCTTGTAGGGTTAAAGAATCGTCGTTTTGTTTTACCAATGGAAACTCCACTGGTTCTGTCAAAAACAAGTTGAAGAAAAATCTCATCAAATTCATGCTGAAGTAGTATAAAGCCCCGAACAACCAAGCATATAAATAAACCGAATTTCCTTCGTTTGTTTGAGGGGGTTGGAGATTAAAAAACTTTTTGAAGCCATTCAAAAGTTGACTACCCCAAATGAAATAAAACAGCATGAAGTAAAGCGATGGGGCCACAGCCGACACTAAACATTCTTTAATTAGAGGAAACATGGATGCTTTAAACTGCCTTAGCTTACCCTGATGAATAACAGGAAAAAATATACGTTTCTCGGTTAAATACACCTTCAAAAAAAAGTATAACCCTATGAATAACCCGTTCAATATCAGCAAAAACTTTCCTTCCACCACACAAGCTCCATTTTTGTTGCATGTAGTTGTGATACTTTGATATGGCCCTCCGCTTAGCGACAAAAACATCCACACCAATAACCCCCCAACAACAACGTGCAATATAAGCAGAACAAAATTATGTATCGAAAACACTGCTATCAATTTCTGAAACCTCGTTGAGCAATACGTCGATTTAAACGCATAATCTTTGGCACATATTACACTCTGTGCGAAAATAATCACTATTAATGGCACTAAATAAAGCCATGTGGTGAGGGATACAAATGTCACCAATGTCGATTTTATCCAGGTTATTGGGTGAAATAAATCGAATTTTGTTATCAATAAATACACCAGTAAAAGTACCAATTGCGAGAACACACTGCACAGCACTGAGTAATACAATTTTCGTAGCAAAAGGTCTTTATAGGTGAACGCTGGTTTTGCAATAAATACGTCTGCATTTGAGTTCATTTTAACTGATTTTCTTGCTTCGTAACTTATAAACTAACTATCATATCGAATGTTTGTGGAAACCGTTAAAACACACAAGAAAGTTCGTTTTTTCGGTAATTTCAGATAACCTGTCACACAACGGATTTCAAAAGTGACATTTAAACATTGCCGCCAACAGTACTTCGTTACTTTAGGCACCACCATGAAGATGGCAACGGGGATTGTGATTCTGCGGCTAACTTCTCGAATGACATTTAACATAACCTCCAAACGTAAACACATGTTTTGGAGGTTAAACATTTGTTGTTACTGTTTTTCAGGATTAGTTGTGGTTTATTACCTAAATTATAACTATTAAAATTACACTTAGGACGCTTTTTCCTCTTTAAAATATGTAAAACAATGCTTAAACTTGCTTTATAACCCATTTTAACCTATTAAATTTGAAATAAAATGACATTTCAAATGCGCATGCGTGGTCGGTTTTGGTAGCTGGCCTGCTTTGGTAGCTAACATTACGCCAATGAAAAATGTTTACTTGTGAATGAAGTAAAGATAAATTGACGATGCCAGGTGGAAGTAAAGTGTTTTTGCCGACCCGCAGCTTGGGTTACGTGTCGAATCACATCCCGTTGCAAGTTAGATACATAAAAAGCAGAAAAGAAAATTTAATAGTGACTTGCGTGGGAAAATCCTTTCATACCTATGGAATTTCGCACTTTGGGTTGTTGAGCGTGAGTGGTTTACACTATGGGGATATAACCTGTATGACGTCGGATGCGTTTCACGTTTATACAGCTTGTAAAAATAAAATATACGCATGGAGAAGAGGTACGGAGCTAAAACACACATATAGTGGCCACAAAAAGCCTGTGCACTTAATGATACCTTTCGGAGTGCATTTAATAAGCGTAGATGAAGGTAGTTGCGTTAAAGTATGGGATATAAAGGCGGAAAGTGTCTTTTTGGAGCTGACGTTCAGTAATAAGGAGTTTCAAATAACAGCGTTGCTACATCCTAGCACTTACATTAATAAAGTATTGTTTGCTAGTGATAGTGGGGGTATGCAACTATGGAATTTAAGTAAATGCAAGTTGGTGCACAACTTTAAAGGCTGGCAAGGTTCAATAACATGTTTAGAGCAAGCACCGGCTCTGGATGTGGTTGCAGTGGGTTTAAACACGGGCAGAATAATTCTACATAACCTCAAATACGACGAAACCATCATGGAGTTTACTCAGGACTGGGGGCTGGTCACGTCGATCTCCTTTAGGTCCGACGGTCAGCCGATTATGGCAACGGGAAGTGCAACGGGGCACATTGTTTTTTGGGATTTGGAAGAGAGGAAGGTTGCCAGTCAGCTGTTGGCAGCGCACGACGGGGCTGTTACGGGGATGAAATGTTTGCCGAACGAGCCGTTGATTTTGACGTCCTCGCCGGATAATACTTTAAAGTTGTGGATTTTTGATATGACTGATGGGGGGGCCAGATTGTTGAGGATTAGGGAAGGTAAGAGAACAGTTTATTTTATAAAATAGCCATTTTTTTCCTATTAAAAATAATTTGAACCAATCAGGTGAAGTTTTTTACATCCTAGTCTGTAAAAAACCCTTTAGGGCCAATCAAAAAATTTGATAACTGATGCTATACAACCTCACTTTATACTCTTTATATACTAACATATATACTTTATATTTACTATTTTTTATTTTGTTTTTGAACCTATCTACAGTTTTTTAGAATTTTTGTTTTGAATTTCCTTAATATTCCATTTTTAAACAATAATTAATAATATTTAATACTGTATTTTTAAATGTAAATTGTCAAACTTTTGCTAAAAGTTTTTTATATTTGTCAAAATGTTTTTTACATAAAGTTCTTTTTTTTAATCTGGACTGCGGCAACGTTGCAAATTTAGGGTTTTGGTTGGTAAATACAGTTGTCAAGTTGGTCGCATTGATTAAAACAAACTAAGCTAGTTATAAATCTAATTGTGGTTATGTATAAATTATTGTAGGTTAAATTGTGCAGTTGTCAAGTTGAGTTGTCGAAATTCGTAGTTGAAAATGCAATTAATTTGGCTTTGGTGGTGCTGGGATGAGTAAAATCATATAAAAAAAGTAGTTAAATATAGGTTGCTTTACGGCCCAGAAGAGAAAGTATTCCTAGCGGATAATAATCTTCGCTTTGAAAATAATTATATAAAAGAAATTAAAATTTTTTGTGAACGTAAATGTTGTCCAATGGGGAATAATGTGAAAATAATGTGTTATGTAATATTTATAAAACCAACTTCGTTACTTTTTTACTCCAAAAATGTCCATAAGTCGATGTACTTTTTCTTCCATTGTGGCATTTGGCATAATTTCATCAAAATGTTTTGCCCTCAAAAGGGCTTTTACATTCGAATTCGTTGCTATTATTTTTGGCATAATTATCTTTTTATTTATAGGTAATTGACAAGTAAATTATCAATAATAAATATTATTGTCAATTGGACAGTGTCAAAGTATTTAATTCTTTAGCAGAAGTACCATTTTTAAATACTAAAAATACCTACTAAGTCAGCTGGCATTTATAAGCCACCAACCTAACAAAAAAACACGAGTCCAGATAAAAAAAAATGAACTGTACCTAAGTTTTGTAAGTAAGTATTTTCAAATTTTTTATCAAAATTCATATTCTTAATATTAAAAAAATATATATTTTTCACATGTTTAACCTTTAGTTCCACATTTTTACCACTTAATTTGTTTCATTTTCTTTAATTTATCTTGATTTAAAATTATTTTATTTAAATCTATCAATAGATAGGTATAAAATAAATAAATATAAATTTAGCCAACCTATAAAATCAAAATTTTGGGTTGGATAAAGTATCTCATTACAGCACCGAAAGCGGTGTTATAATGAAGTCATTATGAACGCAAAACAGATAAAATTATATAATTAATTTTGTGTCTACAAATAAAATTAATTTGTCGCTTTGGGAATGCGGCCGTAAGTGGCAACTGCAGTAGTTCAAATGCATAGTGGGCAGGGCCGAGCCGTGCCGGGGGTGCAAGGGGTGCATGGCACCCGGGCGGCACTAACACAGGGCGGCAAAATATCATCAAAAAAATTGTATCATATTATCAAGAATAAAAAAGCCACCTTGCAATATGCAAAAAACTTTCTAAAAATCACTTGAGTTTTATTGATGTCGCCGTTTCAAGGAATCATCGTTTTTATTCTACACATAAAAACAATGCCAAAATTGTGCTGTCAGGCGGCAATGATAAAAAAGACAGAACCGAACGCGCGATAGCCACAAAAAATGATGATGACAATTTTCTTAAAGCCAGGTTTATAGATTGCCGCCCGCCCGCTTCGCTTTCCGTCCGTCCGCTTCGAGTTCGTCAAGTTTCATGTTTTACGGAAGCGGGCTTACGGGAAACCAATCAAATCGCGCGCTGTGTACCACGTGATATTGTTTACAAGCTGAACTGTTAAGTTAAAGCATAATTTCTTCCGATTTGACGGCTGCGTATTTCAGCAATTTTTAGTTTTTCTATTAACGTGAGGCAAATAGGATGCAAACATAGTAGTTTCTTTTGTCTTTTAATGCGTTTAAGTTAAAAACTAGTTAATGATTTAAAAGGCATCTTTCCGAATTTATTTGTAGCTTTAAGAATATTTTTGACGATGCCAGTTACTGTTGCCCATGGAGAGCGGTCATTTTCGAAATTAAAACTAATTAAGACCGATTTAAGATCCAATATGAGTCAATTAAGGCTTTCAAATTTAGAAATTATAAGTATTGAAGAAGATATTTCTAACAACTTGGATGTAGGCGACTTGATTAGGGAATTTGCTATTAAAAAAGCGAGAAAAGTAGATTTTAGTTTTTTAGTTTAGTTTAACTATTTTTGTTTTTTTTCCTGAATGTATTTTTATTTTATTCTTTTATGTATTTGTTAATAAATACTTTGTTATTTTACTATAAAATTTGTTATATGTTTATTGAGAATGATATATTATGAACTCCTTCCCTACCGACAACCTAATTTTTTATATTAATGGGGGCGGCAAATTTAATGCTTGCACCCGGGCGGCAGATACCCTAGGCTCGGCCCTGATAGTGGGTATGTATGCGTAATTTATCTACGTCAACTTTGTCGCCAATATGCGAAGAAATTCGGGTTTTGTTCTTCTATCTATTATAGATAGAGATATAATATAATTATAGAAATTATTTTTATGTATGTAACTCACAAAACTAAAAGGTTTTAGTTTTGTGATATAATTATATGACGTAGATAAATTAAACATACCTACCATTTGAACTACAGCTGTTGCCACTTTCGGTCGCACTTTCGCAGCGCCAAATTAATTTGATGTATTAATTATATAATCAGGGCTCCCACACCTCCTAAAACTCATAAAATTCCTAAAATTTTGCTTAAATCTTGAAAACTCCTAAAATTCTCCTAAAATTGCCTTCAATCTCCTAAAACTCCTAAAAATTAATTTAAATAGGCCAACCTGACTGCGTTTAATTAAGTTAGTGCTAAAAAAATTCTTTTTTAAAAAGTAATTTAAAAAAATATATATATAGGTATATTTAGGTTGTATTTTATTAAATTCTTTTTAAAATGATATAATATCACAACTAAAATTTTTCTTAAAAAAGAACATAAAAACTTCTTCAACATTGTCATTTTTAGCGATAGGTATTTCGTTTTTTAGTCAAAAATCTACCGTGTTATATACCAAACAAAAGGATTTTTAATTTTCTTTTAAATGACAGCTAAAATAGTAAACAATCTAAAGAATGTTTTGCTGTATTTTGCAAACTTCATATTTTGTTATGAGATTTTTAAGTATTAAGTTTCACATTACAATTGAATCGGTGAGAATAAAAATTTAATTTTGACAATTTAGGTATTTTCTAAAATCAATTTTAAAATAGTTTAAAATACATTTTTGTTAGAAGATATAGGTAAATTATTTTACAAAATATGAATATTATACAGGGTGTCCGGGAAAAGGAGGTCAATCCGTTAACCATATATTCCTTGAGTTAAAACAATAAGACTTTCATAATACCATTTTTCAATTTAGGGCTTCATGTTCGATATACAGGGCGACAAAGTTTGAAATTAAAAACTGATTTTTTTTAATAATTCGAGTAATTGATAAGATACTAAGTTTAAATTCGGTACACTACTTCAACATAAATAGTTACATTTTTTGAGACCAACAAAACAAAAAACAATTGTCAAATAATCAAAATAGGGGGGTCCAGTACTCACTGACTCCCCCTATTTTTTAGTACGTGCGCCAATGACTTCCAAACGGAATTTTTTCACGTAATCATTTATTGTTGATAATGTTTTGTCTCTTATAAAATTTTGATAAAATGATTTGTTTTAGAGATAATTTGTAAAGTATGGGTCAGTCCATATCAAATCAACCAAAGGTTCTTCCCCCACCATATCCGATTTTGATCATTTTTGGTAAATTTGTTTACCTCACTAAAAAACTCAAAAATCCCATATATGATTTTTTTTCGATAGGTGGTTTTTGTTTTATTGATTTTTGAAAATCAAAAAAATCCGATAAATTTGGGTCTTGCAAGTACTTACAAAAATAGCGATATCTCGTAAACTATTAAAAGTAGAAAGGTGAGTGATGGCTTATTTTAAAGCCCTATTAAAGAACTTTTTTATGATATATCACATGACCTACATTTTTTCAAAAATTTTTTTTTTTTGAAAATTTGATATGGACTGACCCATACTTTACAAATTATCTCTAAAACAAATCATTTTATCAAAATTTTATAAGAGACAAAACATTTTCAACAATAAATGATTAAGTGAAAAAATTCCGTTTGGAAGTCATTGGCGCACGTACTAAAAAATAGGGGGAGTCAGTGAGTACTGGACCCCCCTATTTTGATTATTTGACAATTGTTTTTTGTTTTGTTGGTCTCAAAAAATGTAACTATTTATGTTGAAGTAGTGTACCGAATTTAAACTTAGTATCTTATCAATTACTCGAATTATTAAAAAAAATCAGTTTTTAATTTCAAACTTTGTCGCCCTGTATATCGAACATGAAGCTCTAAATTGAAAAAAGGTATTATGAAAGTCTTATTGTTTTAACTCAAGGAATATATGGTTAACGGATTGACCTCCTTTTCCCGGACACCCTGTATTTCATAAAATAGTTAAAATATTCTAACAAAAATGCATTTAGAACTATAAAACTGATTTTTTAAAATATTTTATCAAAAATTTTACTTTTGGACTTGTACTATTCTTAACCTTATCGATTTAATTACTGTTAGTTATGAACTAAACGGTTAATATGTTTTTTCTTAAAATATAAAGATAACATCATTTGATTTTGGCATTAACCAAATCTATCGACGCATTTTTTTAAATAAAATTAAAAGTGTGGTGAAATTTATACTTGTATATATACCTATGTACCTCAGATATATACAAAAATAGTAATTTTACCTCACTTTTAATTTTATTAAAAAAAACCTCGTCGAGCGATTTGGCTAAAAAAACTAGTCAAAATAACTTATTGTTACAAAAGAAGTATTAATTTTTTTCAAGTAATAAAGATATGTTTTTATTTAATTAAAGAAATTCATTTCCATACTTTATTTCTCCTAAAATTTTACAAAAAAACCTCCTAAATTCCTAAATAAAATTTGTAATTTTGCCGTGGGAGCCCTGTATAATTTAATCTGTCCCATAAAATTAATTCTAAAATTTTTATTATAAAGTCGTAATTTTAATAACAAAATAAAAATTCAGAGCATTGATTTTATGTGTACACAAAATTAATTGTATCATTTTTTATTAAAATTAAAATTATGCGTACACATTAGTTATAGCACGTCGTTTTATTTTTTAATTGTATAATAATATAATACTTTAAATTTTATCTGAAATGTTTACTTTATCTATGTACCTGTTATGGAATGTATATTCTTTTGGGGTTTAATGAATAAATAAAGAAAAATAAATAATTTACTTAACATCTTATTTAAAAATATTTAAAAAAAGAAAAGTATTTTAAAATTTCTTGATTCTTCAATTAAAAATTAAATTTCAGGACACTCAGCCCCACCCTCGTTCGTCCGCTTCCACGGTTCCAACGGCCACAACATACTGAGCGCGGCCAGCGATTCAACCTTGCGAATTTTCAACACGCAAACCGAACAGTTCAACAAAAGCCTGGGCAAAGCCTCGTACAACCGCAAGATCAGCAAAAAGCGCGGCCGGGCGGTGGAGGACCCCCTCAAAATGCCCCCCATAGTGCAGTTCACGTCCGAGACGACCAGAGAAAAGGAGTGGGACAACGTAGCCGCGATACATTCCGGGTTGACTGTGGTGACGACGTGGTCTTACGATAAGGTGAAGATGGGGGATTTGAAGCTGATTCCCGAACGGTTTCAGAGGAAGAACAAGGAAAGCAACTTGGAAGTTGCGGCTACGAGTTTGTGCCTCACGCATTGTGGGAATTTCGTGATTGTTGGGTACAGTACTGGACATGCGGATAGGTATGGAAACTATTAATTAAAACGTTGTGTTGTTGTAATAAAAATGTTTGTCTTAGGTTCAATATGCAGTCTGGTATCTGGAGGGACAGTTATGGAGACCCTAAGGCACATGGTGCCGCAGTTAGAGGTGTAGCAGCTGACGCTCTTAATCAACTTGTTATAACTGGGGGCGGTGATTGTTATATTAGGTTTTGGAAGTTCAAGAATAAAGGTAAATATTGTCTTTGATTTTTATAAAACTTATTATTTTTTTGCGATATTTTCTTTTATTTTAAAAATTTGGTTAATATTTTTTGAGATTCTTAGATTTTAAATTATTTATATATATTTTTTTAATTTATCACATATTTTTTTATTTTATCTCCAGTCGTTTTCAAGCCTAAATGTGTCTGAAAATGTAAGATTTTCCATAATTTTTATTGCACGTTTTTACAATTTTATTATACGGGTGTCTCAGATTTTAATCGGTAAAATTTAGTAGTCAATAGAACTCGCAAAAATAAGAAGAAAAGTTTTTATGAACTTGTGAAGTTTAATATTATTTAAAAATTAAAAAAAAAATAAAAATACAAATTTATTTTCTCTTACATTTGTTCTCTATTTTTAAGAATTTTTTTTTAATTAAATTATTTTCTTGAAAACCAAGCAAGATAGAGAAAAAATACCAAAGACATACAAGTTTTATTTTAATTTGCTTATTCTAAATATAATTTCAAACTTATAAAAAAAGTGGCGTGATCATACTTTTTTATTCACTTTAACACCCTGTATCTTGAAAAGAAAGCTTTCCTGACAGGGTTTATAACATTTAGGACTGATTTTTATTTTTTTGTTTTATATTTTTTATGCTTATGATTTAAAATTGGTAGGTGATTTTGATTCCATATACATTTATAGATTTAATATATTTTTTCAATATTTATTCATTTAAAATTCCCATCTTAATCTTTACTAATTTCTGTGAGAAATTTACAAATATTTTTATTAAAATTTTATTTTATTTATTTTCTTCCTCTCTGCCTTGTAAAAATGGTTTAATTTTATTAATTTTTATGATTTTCTATGAACAATTTCCTAACATTTTTGCCAATTTTTAAAATTGTTGATAATTTTAATTTCTCAAAATTTGTATTTTTTTAATTTTATTAAATATTTAGTTTGTTTATTTCTTTATTTTTTACGATTTTTTCTTAAATATCCTCTTTTTATTTTATCAATTTGGTTAATATTTTTTTGAGATTCTTAGATTTTAAATTATTTATATATATTTTTTTATTTTATCTCCAGTAATTGTGTAGATTTTCCATAATATAATTTTTATTGTACGTTTTTATAATTTTTTTCAGATTTTAATCAGTAAAATTCAGTAGTCAATAGAACTTCCAAAAATAAGAAGAAAAGTTTTTATGAACCTGTGAAGTTTAATATTATTTTTAAATTAAAAAATTAAAAATACAACTCTATTTTCTCTTACATTTTTTCTCTAACTTGTTTAATTTTTAAGAATGCGAATAAACGATGTATATTTTTTTAAATTTGAAAATTTATAATTTAATTTTTACTAATTTCTGTGGGAAATTTCCAAATATTTTATCATATTTAGTAAAATTTTATTTATTTTTTTTACGTCTTCTATACCTTATAAAAATCGTTAGTTTTTGTCAGCTTTTATGATTTTCTATGAACAATTTCCTAACATTGTAAAATTACATTGTTTTTATTATGTTTTTCTAATTATAATTATTGATCTTTTTTTATGAGTTGGTCAAATTCTTTGGATTCATTTGTTTTTTGCTAACTTTTGAAACTTTTGCTAACTTAAAAAATTTATAAAATTGTTTTATTTTTTTTATTTGAAGAGCTAAAACGTCGATAAATAAGAGTTGTAAGTTGCGTAATAAAAAAAATGTTTTAATTAAAAAATATTTTTATAATGGCCGCCATAACTTATGTAGTTTGGTACATTGTTGGATTCTTTGATTTTTTTTCGATCTTACCGTGTGAAATTCCAATGGCGGCCATAAGAAAAACAAAACATGGTGGGCAAAAAAAATCGCTAATTGTTATGACGTCATTGTGGGAGGGGCTAATTTACCATATCAATCCATTATTGCCCGAGTGTTTTTATATTGAACAAAAGTTATTATTAAGTCTTAACTTTAAGAATTGTATAAGGAAAGCAGTTAAATAATTTAGGTTATGTATCTCTCAGTTTACACTAATTTCGTATTTTTTTGAGGTTTAAATATATGAATTTTTGTGTTAAAAATAAAGACATACATATATTTGATTAAAAAAAATATATACACGAATTTGAATGGCATAACAAAAAAAAACCGTTTTTTACAATATCAGCAGTTTTTTGTTTCTAAACTTTCTGCATAAATTTAAATATTCTTACTATATCTTCTTACGTATTTTTAACAAAGGTCATTATGTTTTTTACATACTTAAGTTTTGTAAGTATTTACAAATTTTTTATCAAAAAATTAATATTTTTCACATTTTTAACCTTTAATTCCACATTTTTTACCACTTAACTTCTTTTTTTTTTTTATTTATCTTGATTTAAAAATTACTTTATTTAAAACTCAATTTACCAAATATAAATTTTGTAAACTGGAGTTTTGAAACAATGAAAATTTTGAAATTTTTTAAATTCATGTCACTGCAAATTGTTCCTTGCACTTTTTTCACTGTACAAATTTATCCTACCATTTTTTAAATTTATCTCTTTATGTGAATTTTTCCTAACAATTTTTAAATGAACTGATTTAGACTTTTGTACGGATAAAGCTTATATACAAGTTGCATACTATATTTAATCTATGACAAACAGAAATAAGAATTTAAAGCCAATTTTAATCCATGAATATTTGACGAATTTAACCACTTTTTCGCAATTTGTAATAAAGCTAACTTGAGCCCCTGACTAAATTGACCAAAAGCCACTATTGTTAACTTTAGCCCATGACCAAAACGCCATAAAGTCACTGCTTTTTAATGTAGTAGTAGATAAAAACATTATTTGTAATATATTCAGAAAAAAGACAAATTAACGTTGAACTGACGGATACATAACCTCAGTTATTCGACTACAACTACATGCATTATTTCAGCGTCGAGCTGCTTGAACTCCATCCAACTGGAGGAACCGATAAAATCCTTCCAATCGCACAACGAAAGCTCCATGCTTTCCGTCGCATTGGAAGACTTCACGGTCTACGTAGTGGACACGGGCACGCGCCAACTGGTCCGCAAGTTCACCGGCCACGCCGGCCAAATCACCGACATGGCCTTCAGCCCCGACTCGCGCTGGCTGACCACCTCCTCCATGGACTGCACCGTCAAAACGTGGGACATCCCGACCGGGCAACTGATCGACCACTTCGCGTTCGATACCCCATGCGTTTCGCTGAGTTTCTCGCCAACGGGGGAGGCCCTGGTCACCGCCCACGTCGACTACCAAGGCTTGTATTTGTGGACCAATAAGGCGCTCTACGCGAAACTATCGCTGAAGGCCTTGGATCCCAAAGACGAGGCGCCATTGGTTGTGTTACCGGAATGCAAGCAAGAGTTTGACACGGAAACATTCGAAGAGCAAGACGACGTACCAGATTTCATCTCCCCAGATCAACTCAGTAAACAACTAATAACCCTATCAGGTCTGAGCACGTCCAGATGGCAAAACCTGCTGAACATCGACATCATCAAGCTGAAAAACAAGCCCAAGCAACCCCCCAAGGCCCCCAAAGCCGCCCCCTTCTTCCTCCCGACTATCTCCTCGCTTAACCTCCAATTCGACGTCGCGCACCCCGAAGAAAACAACAGCAAACTCCTAACCCCGAAATCCCTCCTGAACCTCTCGGAGTTCGGGCAAACGCTCCAACGAACCTCCAAAACCTGCGACTTCGCCCCGGTTGTAGCGAAACTCAAATCGCTCGGCCCCTCGATGATCGACTTTGAGGTTAGGTCGCTCTCCCCCGAAGGTGGCGGCTCGATTGAGGTTATGTTGCAGTTTTTGAAGTGCGTAGAGCACATGCTGAAAACGAATCAGGATTTCGAGTTGGCTGAAGCCTACTTGGGCGTTTTTTTGAAGTGCCACGGTCAAATCGTAGCGGCCGAGGAGAATTTGCGAGGTTATGTAAAAAATGTACAGTGCTGTCATAATGTGGCCTGGCAGAAATTGCAGGAGAAGTTGTTGTATACTGTGTGCGTCATACAGAATCTTAAAACCATGTAAAATATATTTTTTTATGTTGTTCTGTGTTTTATTTGCAAATAAATCCTTTTTTTAATTAAAACTTTACTTTATTGATGTCAATTGAGCAATTGACATCTTGACTTCTGCATCATGCTGAGTGTCTGCGCTGAGTGTCGTGTCGTCAGCAAAGAGAGTAAAACTAGTATCTAGATCGCTGATAGGCAAGTCATTGATGAATATTAAAAATAGTAATGGTCCCAAGATGGATCCTTGGGGGACTCAAATCATGATATTTCTCTCTGCTGACGACACGCCACCGACTTTATCATGGATATAAGATTGAATGAGCTTTATGCTGTTTTTGTTAAAATTATAGTAATCAATATTTTTAATAAGAATGTTATGGTCAACACAATCAAATGCCTTGCTTAAGTCGCAGAATAGAACAGAGTTAAATTTTATGTTTTGAAAAGAATTTTGAATATTTGTTATTAGTTCTAGCACACCCTGAACTGTGTTTCTTCCCCTTCTGAACCCAAATTGACTCTCAGTAAACATGTCATTTCTTTCCAAAAAACATGTAATTTGTTTAGCCATACATTTCTCTAAGATCTTTGAGACTACCGGCAGCAAGGAAATCGATCTATAGTTCTCAGGTTTGTTAATATCTCCCTTTTTATATATTGGAACCACAACTGCCTTCTTTAGAACCCTCGGAAAAGTACCCTAGGGTACAAAGCTTATTAATCTATGTTTTGGAGAGCTCTCCAAAACATAGATTAATAAGCTTTGTAAGAGGTATTATGATTATATTTTTAATGGTTTTTATCAATTTAATAATGGGGTAGTTAAATTTTTTCTGACCTATACTTTTTATGGTTTTATTCAAGGCGTTTTGTAATATTAAACATTTCTGTGAAATCAGAATTTCAATTGAGTTTACCGTTTTCGAGATATTTACAAAAAATATAAATTTTTATGACGTCACAAAACTCGCCATGTGACCAACATTCTTAGATTTCTATTGGTTGAAAATTACCCTGTTGTCAAGTTGTCTTGTTAATAATTTTATTCGGTTATGTCAGAAAATACCCGAAGAGGTTATGTACAAACACTCATGATACAACAAACCATGATACAATGTTGTATCATGTACAAACACTGTCACTGTCAGTTGAGTGAAAGATGGTCACCAAATTCATTAAGTACCTATCTTCCTTATTACGAGGTATCATATTACTGTTTGATATTTTAAGTCCAAAATATACTTATCTAAAAGAATATAAAGAACTAGGCATTATACTAATTAAATGCATTTACGACAAAATATGATTATAATTATAGGTACTTAGGTACTTTATTTGTTTAAAAGCTCCAATGTTCAATGTAACCAACCATTCCACAAGATTCCTCTGCTTTGGAGTCCGTTATTAATAAATCACTTATCTAATGTCAATTACAAATAACATAACAATAATATTGATTTTCAATCATCTAAATTTAAAAAAAAAACGAAAAAAAAAAACGTCATAAAATCAATTATTCTTCTTCTCATCTAAAATCATAGATCAAGTGGTTTTAAAACTAAAATATTATAACGTGGCGCCATCTATCGTAAGAATCTTAAACTAAACACACTGGCAACCATAGAAAAAGCTGGCAACGTTGTCAATAGCCTAGTGACGTAATTAGGAGATTTTTTTTTGTAAATATCTCGAAAACGGTAAACTCAATTGAAATTCAGATTTCACAGAAATGTTTAAAATTACAAAACGCCTTGAATAAAACCATAAAAAGCATAGGTCAGAAAAAATTTAACTACCCCATTAGGACATGTATGTCACAGCTATTTTTATTTTTTAATTTATTAATAATATCTCTTACATCGCTAAATGTTATTTCTTATAACATAAGCGTTTGACAGGTGATTATTAAAAGTTGCACTTTTGTTACGATAACAGCCGAGTGGTGGCGCTACTAGCGTATACTCCTTTAGCGTATACGCTTTCAAACAAAATACGTATTAAACTTAATTACTTTATTTTTAACTAAATAAAACATCAAAAAATATTACAAATGTAAGATATTAATTAATTTAATTAAAGCTAAATTGTACCTATTTCGCTTTCTTCATGTTCTCTTCTATAACAGCCAGCCTCTCCAGAATTGGCGGATGCGAATGGTTGTAAGCGGAATACCAGTTATCGTAAACCGGGAACGACAAGTTATCTTTATTGAGCTGGATTAGAGCGCTCTGCAGTGGAGCTCCTCTTTTCAGTTGCACCGCAAAATCATCGGCCTGAAATTCGAACCGCCTCGACATGCAAGTCGACAGGAACGACAGCAAAGCGTTGTAGGGGGTCATGATGTACATTAAAACCACATACAACCCTATTAGGACCGGTTGGGACTTGTAGAAACCTGCCACCTGGTAGATTTTCGGCGACTTAAACATCGTGGAAAATACGGCGAATAGTAAAAACAGATTTACTTGAATGACGACCAAGTTCTTCAAAACGTGGTTGAAACTCCAGTGGCCGAGTTCGTGCGATAAAATTCCCAAAATCTCATCGTTGTCGCAGCCAGTTCCATCTTCTTTCTTGAGCAGGGTGTCGTAGAGAACGATGCGTTTATGTTTAAAGAAACCGTAGAAATACGCATTACTGTGCGCAGATCTCTTAGAGCCCTCAACAACGTACAATTCAGTCAGTGGGAATTTTAATTGTGTAGCCAAATCTTCGATTTGTGTGCGTAGCTCGCCCTCTGGGAGTGGGGTGTATTTATCGAACATTGGGGCTATCACAGCAGGATATACGGTCATTAAAATTAACGATATGGTGCATACTGCTGCCCATAACCAAACAAAGAAGTAATCACCTCCGTTTTTAATGATTACTATTACAATAGAACTAATCATAAGGGTTAAACATTGGCTTACAATGAAAGCCTTTATTTTATCCCACACAAAGAAACCCACAGTTTGTTTGTTGAAGCCAAACTTTTCTTCCAGTACAAATGTGTAATAAATTGTGAATGGAAGATCAATTATTGTTGTTAAGACAGATAAAATTAATATCCAAATACAACTCGTTGATACTTCCCCTGCTTCACTGCTGTTAATTTGCAGGGAATAATCCCAGAATATTGCCAAAACATCGTAATAAATTATCAACGTGCTAAAAACAATCCCGAAAATATCCTTAATAAAACTGAACTCTAATTTCGCCACCGAATAATCCTTAGCTTTCTTAAACGTATCCTGCGATAGTACGCCCTTTAATTTCTTTGGTACCTCCTTCGTAATCAACACAACATGATACTAAAAAAAAACATGTAATCACTCAAATACCAAACATTCCAAGCAAAACGTACCTGTCTGTACGATAAATATAACTCCCAAAGGAACTCAATCCACATGAACAGCAATATAAAATACTTGATAACGAATTCATTTTTGATTATCGAATCGATCATTTTTGCGACAATTTCGGCGAAATCACCGATTCTAACCTAATCTGTAAATTGACAGGCAGATATGGCATTGCCAACTTGGCAACCCTGCGTACAGCACGCCAACTTAATAAAACCAGAAACGTGTGACTTTAGACACTGCATACGTCATCGAATTGCCGCCTTTTTGATCAGTTCCCGGCAAGTAAACATGGCGTCCTTTGAAGGAAGTGGTGTGACTACTGGTCAGCCAAACTTACATAAACAGGATTTATCGAAATTGGTGAGTTTACGCGTTTTATTCGAGATAAAGTTGGGACTAACGGATTGGCAGGTCGAAATATTGTCAAAACGAAATCCTAACCTTGTTTTTTAAGTGCGTTTTCGTGAGTCACATCTGGACTAATTCGTGCCCCAATTTGTTTTAGGATGTTACGAAACTTACACCACTGTCCCCTGAGGTTATTAGTAGACAGGCTACGATAAATATTGGCACAATCGGTCATGTAGCCCATGGTAAATCAACTGTAGTTAAAGCTATTTCGGGAGTGCAAACTGTCAGATTTAAAAATGAACTCGAAAGAAATATTACCATTAAATTGGGTAAGTACTGATTAAATGTTGTATAATGCATGATATGTGTGAATAGCATACTAAATAAAACATTGTGCTAAAAAATCTGATGCAATGTTTATTTATTGACTTATTTCGTATTTTTTGGCACAACTTTGGACTAACGTTTTGTAGTATGCACTCTACAAGTTTAAATTGTTTTTTTACCATAAAAATTTATTTATTTACTGTGCTGTATTGTTATAGTGTTTGGCAAAATACAATTATTTTTTTTTGTGTTGGTATGAAAATGTGCAGTGATTTTAAATTGTGATGGTTGTTGCAGTCTATAAGGTATGTGTTATTTTTCAGAATTAACCAATCTGCACATAAATAACTGTTTGAGGGGCATGTTCATCATTATTAAACAAACAGCATTTTAATTTAAATTAATTGGTTTTCATTTATTATTATATAAGTTTGGGTCATTATTATATTGAAATATTGAAAGGTTCTTGTCAGGTTTTGAATCTAAACCATAGATCTATCTTTGATTAGAACAACTCATTTTTTACAAATTATTTGTAAAATGTCTAATATTTAGGGATTCTATTGGATAAAACAAAAGTAAGTAAATCTATAATTGGAGATTGAATACACTAAAATCCATTCAGAAATAAAACGAATGTAAATTTTAACCTTGCTAATGTTTTATCCAAAAATTACTATAATCTTGGTTAAGACAACACAGCGTTGACAAGTTTTTTTATTCTTAAATAACTAGAAACCTACTTGTTAGTAAAGAAACCTATTTTTTATACCGTAAATACGGGTGACTTTGCACCCCGCGGGTGACTTTAACCCATTTATGAAAAATCTTTTCGCGCTCGATAAAATTAACATTTATAATTTGTTGGTCTAACCCTGTCAATTGAGCGATTCTATTGAGTTTATATTACAGGAAAATCAGTGTTTTAAAGAAAGAAATGGGATTTATTACACTTCAAAATTGTATATATCGTATCAGTGCAAAGCTCTTAGAAATACACGCGTTACAATTTCTATATTATGCGCAATCCATTGGAATGATGATCCTTGATTAACTACAGGTCGATATTTTATTTTTTTTATTGGTAATCCCTTGCAATAGATATATGTCGCTGCTAACACGTGTCTAATAAAAATAAAATATAATATTACATTCATTTTATACTGAAAAAACACTGTGAGACAAAGTAACCCGCAACCAGGGGGTAACTTTGCACACCCAGTTTTTAATGTTTATTTTTGAAACTCAGCCCTATGTAATATTATAACATAGTTATTATGAAAGAGCAACTCAAGACTCAAATTTTGGTATACAAAATTTAATGATTATGATTGTTAAAACCACAACAATTTTAAGCTGAAGTTTGAAAGTGAGCCAAAGCCACCCGTGTTTACGGTACTCAAGAAATGTTTATGCAACATTATAATGGTAAAAGCAAATTTAAGAAAAATCGTTGATATACCTTGACACATAAGAATCTAAAATACATTTTAAAGTTTATATGGTCATTTTTTATATTTTTTAATTTCAACCTTTTTGGGCAGAATTTTTGTCTCTGTGGTTGGTAAACCTTAAATTATTTTCAACCTTATATTATTTTTTAAAATTGACTTAAAATAATTTTGAATATTGATTTTGTGACAAATATATAATTTAAAAAAAAAAATTGAAATAAATTTGTCCATTCTGTTCATTCTTACTTTGGTTGTCAGATATGTAATAATAAATCTATAGTAGAAATTTCCTAAATACATATCTATGTAGGTACTAATTAAAATCAAAAAAATTTCAATAGTTGCATAAAAGGAAATTTTGCCAATGGACAGGAAAGACAAATTAAAAAAATTACATACATTTGAGATATTCCAGGTATTTTATAAAAGCCAGCTTTTTTTTAAAAAACAAACAATACTGACTACCAATTTGACAGTTGCATTAATCACTGGAATCTGCAATGGGACTACATAGAAGCCAGACATACAATTTTGAGGACAGATTTAATTTTAATAAAAAGTATTTAAGTTTTTACTTTTGTATTGTGTATAGAAAGATTAAACTTTGAAAAAAATACAATACAATTACTACATTTTAATTTAAAATTTACAGTTTTTATCGCTCTTAAATACAGCTGGAACCTTTTAAAGAATAAGCCATATTACTTTCAATAAACACTAAAAAGCAAGTAATTTAGAGACAGTGACAGAAGTTGTTAATTACTTTTCCATTTTCCATGGCATACTATTTATAATGCGAAAATTGCGGTAAAGTACATACAAAAATTTTTTAAATGTAAATATTATATTAAAATGGTTTTATAACAAGTAAAGAGGTTTAAACTGTTAACAAAATTGTTTTTTTTGTATTTTTAGACAAAGATGGTAATATAAAATGGATCAAGGATGGTTTTTTCCACTTAATCCTTATTGCAATATCTTCTTGTAATATTGACTTGTCCAATTTTTTATTTATAAAAGTTACCGGTTCCTAGTAGGGTTTTAAAATTCCGGACAAATTGAGCCAGCTGAAAAATGTTTTTTTTTTCGTAAAAAACGGAAAAATTGTGAAATTTTCAAAAAAATTGGCTTTTTCATTTTTTAAATTTAATTCAAAGGGCAATACGAAAAAATGCAAGTCAATTTTTCAAAAAAATTCTATCCGTACACTGATACCGAGAAAAAATTGAATTTTTGACGCGGAATATAATCATTATAAATTATATAATTTATAATTATAATAATTATTCCTTTTAATTTAATCCAGTTTAGAATATTCTACAGGGTCGCAAAAAAACAAATTCTGTGCTGCATTACTCAAGTTTTGTAGGAACTTTGTAGTAATTTTTAAGGCACAAACAATAATTATTAATTATAACCTTAAACAATGGAGAGGGAAAAATTGTTAGCGCATGCGCTGTTCAATCTTATTTTTAATTCACAATTTATTTCATAAAAGTTAAATTTTATGAACTTTCAATGTTATTCAATAAACACTAAATTGTGAGTTAGGGATTAAATCGTTGTAAAAACTGTTTCATAGCATAATAGTATATTCTGTAACAAGTTTGGAATACAGCATATTCCGTTTGAGTGAAGGTTTTACGATTGCGGAATATGCAATTCCAAATGTGTTTCAGACTATACTTTTTCTACGTTGCCAAAAAATACCATAGAAAAAATAATTTAATTGGAAGAAAGTGAGGTTGGATCGGTCTAAAATTTGTTAGATATTAAAAACAGAGATGTCGCCAGAAGTGTTTATTCTGTCATCAGATGATAGAATAATTCATTCTGGAACACTTTACGGAATATATGTCATTCCATAGATAAAATTGTTATTAGAATTGCCAAATTCCGTAATAGAAGTAGAAAATAGTTATTTGTTTTACAAGTGTTGAAAAGCGACTTTTTCATGCGAGTTTTTAAGTTGCCCACGAGGCCGTTAGGCCGAGTGTGCATTAACACGAGCTTGAAGAAAGCTTTTCTCACAAGTATAACACAATGTTTTTTCTGCGACCCTTTTATTTTTTATTATTTTTAAACAAAACAAAATAACCTAAAAACTTTTTTGACAGCTGAATGTCAAACGATGCTTTCCGGTTCTTTTCACACAGACCTGTCACTTTTCACACAGAAATGTCACTTTACATTCATGTTTTGCCTTGCCAATGTAAAGATTCATTTTCTAAGCAACGATGCCATCATGAAAAGTGACTTTTACATAGTAGTCGTAGAAAAAATAAATTAATGATATGAAGTTGGATAAACCCGCCATTATTTGACAGTTCGGTTTATAATTACATTTTATAAATCCTTCATTATTTTGTAATTGGATATTTTAAATGGTCTCCTTTTGCCAAAAAGACCCAACCGACTACTGTCGTTTATTTTTTTAAATCAATTTAATTTAATGTTAATTTCTTTATTGCAACTTTTTTCCAAATGTGTATATTTCCAAAAAAAATCAATTTTTTCCCAAAAAAGACAATTTTTCCAAGACCTGAGAAAAAAACGAAGAAAAACAGGTTTCCCCCCAATTTTTCTGTTTTTTTTTCGACACTTTAAAACCCTATTTCCGACGAACAAATTAAAATAATCGAACAAAATTAGGTTTTTACCTTAACCCGCAAATTTGGAGTTAACATAATTTAATTCAAAACTTTTTTATTTTTGTTTTATTCTGTGGCTGTTTTTAAAAGTGGCACCAAACGAATTTCGCGTCTAGACTGTTTTTAAAAAGCTCATTAAGCGTTTTCTGTTTTTGAGCCCGACAAATCCATTTAATTAATTTTTTGATTAAAAGTGGTTATTTTTAAGAAATTTTTATATTTTTCGGGAGTGAATTAGTAGTAGATTCCTGCACTATAACAATTTGGTATGAAAGAAACCCCTGGTTAGAATAAAAAAGAAGCAAGACTCGAATACGATCGGTATGTACCAACAAAACAAAAAAAATTAGATACTAAAAATGTTTTAGGTGTAGAGAGCAGCTTTATAAAATTTAAACTTGTACAGTGCACCTTGTTGAGAGAGAGAGAGTTTTTTTGTAACATTTACATCGAATTCGGAGTACCCGAATGAAATGAAATTAAATAGAAAGCATGTTGTGTGTACCCAGATGAATAAAATTATGTGTTTGTAGAGAGGCTCCAATTCGATGTGAATGGCAAAATAACGTGGCCCAGGCAACTGAGGGGCCGCAAGGTGGACTTGAGCCCCCTCGAAGACTCCGACAATGAGGAGGAGACGGAACGCAGGGGCTTAAAGAGGAAACACGAGAAGACTTACACGCTGCCCAATAGAAATAGTGAAACGTATTCCAGGGAGTACGTGGTGGAGAAAATACTGGAGTACAGTAAAGAGCAAGGTTGCGGTTTTTCTTTCCGCGTCAAGTGGAAAGGTTACGCCGACAATTGCAACACGTGGGAGCCGTTGGAGCATTTAACGAACTGCCCCGCGCCTCTTGTAGAATTTTTGCACGACAAATTAAACGACACGTTGCTGGACAAACTGTACGATTTGTTTAAGGTGCCCAAGAAGCTGAGTGATGCCAGTTTGTTGGGTTTGTTGCCGGGCGTGAATTTGGAGAATTTACCTGAACTGCTGCAAGTGCAGTTGGATTTGTTTTCGGTGGCTTTGAAACCGCCCTTGGAGAGATTCGTGCACAAATACGAGGCGGGAAGAAAGGCTTTGTTGATGTATAAATTGTTGTTGAAAAGGGAGATACAGGTGGCGAAGTTGACGCACTGGGAGTACATCATAAATAAAATGGCGAAGGAGGAGGCGGCTATTAAGGTGGAGAACAATGCGGATTTAGACGGACCGCCGGAGAATTTTAATTACATTAATGAGTATGTATCGGCGACGATTGAAATTCCTGTGACGCCTGTCACTGGGTGTGAATGTGAAGAATGCGGTCCGCGGATAAAATCTTGCTGCGGTAAGCAGGATTTTGGCGCTTTCACCTACCGCGGTAGAGGTAAGGTGAACGTGAATCCTGGCGTGCCGATTTTCGAGTGCAACAGACAGTGTCGGTGCGGGCCTGAATGCAGAAACCGCGTCGTGCAAAATGGAAGAAAAGTGCCGCTGTGTATCTTCCGCACCAACAACGGGTGCGGCTGGGGCGTGAAGTCCATGCGCAAGATCCACTGCGGTGAATTCGTGTGCGAGTACGTAGGGGAAGTTATCAGCCACGAGGAGGCGGAGACGCGGGGCAAAGCCTACGACGCCGAAGGTAGAACTTATCTCTTCGACTTGGACTACAACTCGCGCGACAACCCGTACACCGTTGACGCGGCAAAGTACGGCAACGTGTCGCACTTCATAAACCACTCGTGCGACCCCAACCTGGCCGTGTACGCGGTGTGGATTGACTGCCTGGACCCCAACCTGCCCAAGTTGGCGCTCTTCGCCATACGGGAGATACAGAAGGACGAGGAGCTGACGTTCGATTACATGATGGTGACGGATTCCCCGCGCAAAACGCCCGAGAAGCCCAAACTGGAGACGCCCGAGAAAAACACGGTGGTTCAAACTGGACGGTCCATATGCAAGTGCGAGGCCGATTCTTGCAGACGATATTTATTTTAGTGCGACATTGCGACAGATTTTATTTTATATTTCTATTTTTAACATGCGTCCCTGGCCAATTTATTAGACTCACTTACAAATGTTCTCTAATAGTCGATATCTTCTCACAAAAATGCATTGTTGAACATCAAAAGTGATTTTTTAATAGAATCGCCTTTAGGACGAGATTTTTTCGATAAAATTCAAATTGAAACAGTTATGGTAAGAAGAACGACTTTTTTTTACTTTACTGCAATGCTTAGGTACATATCAAAGTTTTATTTCAAAATTTCAATTTTATCGTCCTTAAAAGCGTTCGATTCTATTCATTCTTTGTAGTTCATCAAAAATGCATTTTTGTTAAATGACATTGAAAACATTTTAAGAAATATGTGAGCAAGTCTAATAAATTGGCCACGAACTCTATTTACATTAACATTGTTTTGGTGTTTTCCCCAAAAATAAGTTAAACATTGAAACAATCAAGTATTGTATTTTATACAGGGTGTCACCTTTTTTTTACTTAAAATAACTATAAAAATCAAATCGCGTGGTATGAGGTTGTTGCGCCCTGTATAATGAATGTTGTACTGATTTTTTATAATTTGTTTATTGGATAAATGAAAATGTATGAAATGAAAATTGAATTTAGTTAAGCTCTAATGTTATTCTGTTTATTTACAATATTGTGTTGTATCAATAAAAATATACGTTTATATTGTTGTTTTTATCCACAATTTTTAACTTATCAGACAGACACGTTGACTTATCAAGGTATTTTGTATAAAAAAATATTTTTTGTTTTTTTCCTTCAAAGTAAAAATGTTTCTCAAAACGCTTCTTTTTTTAAGTGTTTGCTCAAGTTTTGTGTTTTCTTATAATATTTGGATATTGCAAAAAACAGTTTTAACTGAAAAACTCGGTTTTTATAAAGATAACTCGATTAAATATTCTGGAAATTATTGGTTTCTACCACCTTATTCGCCTTTAAGAGTACTTTTAGATAATTAAGTGTTATTTTCCATTTTAAAGGTAAGTTTTTCAAATTAGCCAAGCACTATAACTGTTACAGTTAGATCAAGTGCAATACTTTAGGGCTCATATCCGCAGATTCGGTTTTTAAGTTGTTTTCTTATGGAATACTTAATTTGGGTACATATACAATATAAAAAAACAACGCCAAAACAATTGGTAAACAAACAAAAGTTTAAAATCATTACATATTAATGTCTATGATAAAAACCTTTTGGCAATCGTAGTCGAAATACGGTTGCCAAATTCTTGCTGTTATAAACATGTCATTATAAAATCTAAAATATCATCATTTTGTGTGTTTATTTTTTTTAAATGCTTTTTTTATACAATTTATAAACAATTTAACCCCACCCAAGCAGCATTTTTGGTACCAAAAACCGTTGCCAAAGTGGCGATAACTTTAAATTAGTTAAAGATACTAAACAGCTACTTTAATTTTTACTTAAAAGTAATTCAACTTTTAAATAGCAATATTTTGTAACAGAAACTTAATTTTTCCTTAAATGGTTACTATAAAGTAATAAACTATTAAGTAAAACTTGGTTGCCCCCAAGAAGACTTTGCAACTTTAAAAAAGGTGTTATAAGTAAAAAAAAACCTTCAAGTAAATTTAATTTGTAGCAGTTACTTTCGGTTGCCTCCTAAAGATTACATTATAATTTTTTTTACTTTGTAGTCCCTTTGCAAGTTAAAATCTCGAAACTGGAACATGAGTTAAAAACTACAAAGTAAATAACTTAAAAATTATTATTTTAGTATTTGGATCGTTTATGGTACTAACCAAAACTACCGTAAAGTAAATTAAGGTGGAAAAAAACTTTAAAGTAGCGAAAACTACTTCAAAGGAAAATGCTTCTTATCGGCCATTTTTTACTGTACAGTACCACATGGTAATGTAAATAATAAATTATTTTAATTGTTTGTAAATGGTTGTTTACTTTTTAATAAATAGTAATTTTGTTGGTAATAGACGGTATTAATAATTAAATAAAAAAATTAATAATAAATATTAAGATTTTTTTATTTATAAACATTATTAAATAAATAATTTGTTTATTCTTAAATATTGATGAAGCGCATTTATTTTACAAAAACTAAATTCATAAGTTCAACAGTAAAATTTAAAGGGTTTATAAATTTACCTGCCCAATTAAACATTATATTGTTATTCTGGAAGTTATTAACTACCAGTACATATTTAATAAACGACGACATTGAAAAGCCAAGTCCGTAGTGGTTCCATTTAAAAAAGGAGGGATAGTATAATCTAATATAAGTTTGACAAAGACAGTTAATATAGAAGTAAAAACAAATAAATAAAAGTAATTATAACGCTCTAGCAACGATATTGGAACGTTCTAGTAACGTAGCAGCTACGTTCCAAATAGTTTTATAGCTAGTGACATATTTGTTACCTTGTTGGAACTCAATAATTGTTCCCCACTTTAGTCGTAACTTAGTAATGAAAGAGTAATATAAAGAGACCGGCGACTGTCGCAAAACACTTTTAAGTTTCTTCAATAGTAAATTGTTGCTTGGGCACGAAAATAAAACAGTTTTAGTTAGAAATAATTTGAACATGTGTGGTATATGTCCATATTGTATCTTTCTAGGTTACGCTAACGCAAAAATCTACAAATGCGACAACCTGAAGTGCCCCAGGCCTGCCTGTTACATTTCGGGAAGTTCCTCGAAAGACGATAACTTCCCCTGTCTACGTCCCGCCTGCACCGGACGCTTCCAATTGGTCAGGCACGTGAGTTTCGTCGATTGCCCCGGTCACGACATCCTCATGGCAACTATGCTTAACGGCGCTGCCGTCATGGACGCTGCTCTTTTGTTAATCGCAGGTAAGGAACTTCGCTTGTTTGAGATGATACCTGGGTTGCTATTATTATATGGGTGATTCTACAAAAGTTGGGCAACTTTTGACCTCATTTTGTTTATATAGTTTTCGAAGGAAATTAAACAGTATTTTGTTATGAGAACATATATAGATAATATAATAAATATATTGTTCCAGACCGCGCCAGTCACTTTTTCAAACAGTTTCTGAAATATCTGTGTTTTCTAAATTTGAATGCAAGGGAAGTGACGAGTATACCAGGGTACTAATTAAATACATAATTTATTGGAAAATATAAGATTTATTGCAACTTTGAGCATATTATACATTAAATATCCTAAAATCAAATAATACCAAACATCAGTGGCGGCTGGTCGATTTTGGGTATACCGATATCTCAATTATTAGATATGGGACCCACACCAAATTTATGAGTTTATAATGGCATTAAATAAACAAGTTCTGCGCAAGCAGAATTTAAATTGAAGTTTGCGAAAAAAGATAACCGAAACATAGAACATGGAACTGACGACAAGGTACTGATGAATGGGATACAAATTTGAGATTATAATTCGGAATTAAGTATTTTACTGATATTTTTTATTAGTGGATGCTACTTATCAACAAATCACATATAGCCTTATATAAATTACAATGAAATACATATACGTAAGAAAATAACTACTCACCTGTACTGAAATTTTGACTGGAACTATACGTGCATTCACCACAACTTTGCCGCTTGCATTGTTTTCAAGATGACTGTCGTGCAAAGGGCGGGTTCTGTAGGTAATTTTTTACCAACACTTGAGTTAAAACGAGGACTTGACGTTTAAACTTTAATATTTCGCAGGAATTTTGAATTTTAACATTGCACACAGAACTGACGGGTAAAAGTGAGTACCAAGATTATGATTTTTTTAAAAATTGCTATTATTCGAATCTATGATAAAATATGAAAAATAAGTTATTTAATGTTTTATAGTTTACAGGGAAATTGAAAAATTTAAGATAAATTGAATATATTTTAAAATAAACTTACTCAAATATTTGATTCAGGAGTTGTGACACGCCAAGGTACTGATGTTTTGAATATTTATTATGTTTTTCCATAAACGTGCTTTTGAAAAAATACATTAAAATTGGGTGGAGAAGTTAAAAAAACCTGGATCTTTTGTAATATACTAAAATATTTACAAAAAATATTAAAATACCTACTCTATTGACTGATGACATCAAGTTGTCAAACTTTTGTAGAATCACCCATATTTCAATAATGTGATTATTTTAATCACATCATTTTAATACAGGTGAGTCTTTTAACTTGAAACTTTGAAATATCTCAGTAAATGGTCATTTTACGAAAAAATGTTTATAATAAAAATTAAATGATTCGAGGGGGAAATAAATTAGCACCAAAATTATTGCCCCTTTAAAATTTATAATGGAACACCCTATATTTTATTGCAGATTCGGATCATTCGACTAAAAATAGGTAGATTTTTTCGAAAACTTTTTTTCCTGTGTATATCATTCTGCAATAATTTTTCAATAAAAATATAAAAGTGATTGGAAATAATTACCTTTTTTTGATAAAGAACGATTTTTTTTACTAATATCTAAGTTTCCTAAACTTAATGTTTTATACATTATTTCATTTAATCAAGATTAATCTATTATGCATAGGGTGCAAAAAAACGAAATAACCGTTAGAACAACTAAAATAAATTTTATAAATGTTATAGTTGAGCAGTTAGGTATTCATAATGTATTTTTGAATAGTGGAAGAAAAAATAGAAATGGTTTTGATTTATGGAAAAACACTTTTTACAATAATATTAAACAAAACATGTCGAAGTGTTTTAATTTTTATTTTGTCATAAAATTAATAATTTTATTGAAAAAATTGTTGTTTTTGTTTGTCACCCAATTATGAAAAGAATAAGTATTATAAGATCGAGAAACGTCTTTAATATATACTTTGTCCACTGAAGATGCACAGAGGGTGCAGCAATAATACCTTAAGGTATTATCCATAATTCAATGCAAATTTAAACATAGAAAACCACGAAATTTAAACCAATAAGGATATGACACAGAACATAATGATATCAGAGATAGGTTATGTTGCCTCTTATTCACGTATGCGCCATCAGATTGCGCGTTTCAATTGAGTATGTCGTTCTTTTTAATGCTCACTCACTACATCTCATATCATGGTGAATAACTTTTCGACTAATTTATTTCCCAACTCGAATCATTTAATTTTTATTTTAAAATTTTTTTCGTAAAATGCCTATTTACTGAGATATTATAAAGTTTCAAGTTAAAAGATTCATTTTTATGTAACATCGCAAAAAAAATGACGTAACTCGTTTCTCCTAGGAAACGAATCGTGCCCTCAGCCGCAGACGAGCGAGCACTTGGCCGCCATCGAGATCATGAAGCTGAAGCACATAATAATCCTGCAAAACAAAATCGACCTGGTGAAAGAAGGCCAGGCCAAGGAGCAGCACGAGCAGATCGTGAAGTTCGTGCAGGGCACGGTGGCGGAGGGCGCGCCCATCATCCCCATCTCGGCGCAGCTGAAGTACAACATCGAGGTGCTCTGCGAGTACATCACCAAGATGATCCCGATCCCGCAGCGCGACTTCACGTCCGAGCCGCGCCTCATCGTGATCCGGTCGTTCGACGTGAACAAGCCCGGCTGCGAGGTGCACGACCTCAAAGGCGGCGTGGCCGGCGGCAGCATCCTCAGGGGCGTGCTGAAGGTGGGGCAGGAGATCGAGGTGCGCCCCGGACTGGTCAGCAAGGACTCGGAGGGCAAGCTGACGTGCAGGTAAGGTTAAGACAGTTGAAATTTTCAACTTTGAAAGTTTCAAACTTGAAATATTTCATTTAAGGCGGGTTTATAAACAATTGATAATTTAGTGGACAATGGGGTGGTTAAATTTTTTCTGACCTATACTTTTTATGGTTTTATTCAAGGCGTTTTGTAATATTAAACGTTTCTGTGAAATCGGAATTTCAATTGAGTTTACCGTTTTCGAGATATTTACAAAAAAAATAAATTTTTATGACGTCACTAGGCTATTGACAACGTTGCCAGCTTTTTCCATGGTTGCCAGTGTGTTTGGTTTAAGATTCTTACGATAGATAGCGCCACGTTATAATATTTTAGTTTTAAAACCACTTGATCTATAATTTTAGTTGAGAAGAAAGAGAAGAATTGATTTTTTGACGTTTCTTTTTTTGGGGTTATGTTTTTTTAAAATTTAGATTATTGAAAATCAATGTTATTGTTATGTTATTTGTAATTGATATTAGATAAGTGATTTATTAATAACGGACTCCAAAGCAGAGGAATCTTGTGGAATGGTTGGTTACATTGAACATTGGAGCTTTTAAACAAATAAAGTACCTAAGTACCTATAATTATAATCATATTTTGTCGTAAATGCATTTCATTAGTATAATGCCTAGTTCTTTATATTCTTTTAGATATATCTTGGACTCTAAAATATCAAATAGTAATATGATACCTTGTAATAAGGAAGATAGGTACTTAATGAATTTGGTGACCATCTTTCACTCAACTGACAGTGACAGTATTTGTACATAACCTCTTCGGGTATTTTCTGACATAACCGAATGAAATCATTAACAAGACAACTTGACAACAGGGTAATTTTCAACCAATAGAAATCTAAGAATGTTGGTCACATGGCGAGGTTTGTGACGTCATAAAATTTATATTTTTTGTAATTGTCTCGAAAACGGTAAACTCAATTGAAATTCTGATTTCACAGAAATGTTTAATTTTACAAAACTCCTTGAATAAAACCATAAAAAGTATAGTTCAGAAAAAATTTAACTACCCCATTTATTTCATAACTCAATTGTTAATTTAATGCATAATTTAATACATAATACATAACTTTAAAATCTGGTTTATACAACTTATTAATTTAGTAAATATTTTATTTTTTTAAATGACAATATTGATTATTAAAAGTGGCAAGTGACACAAAGTCCATCATTGAAATGTTATGTAGAAACCAAGATGCATACACCTTAAGATAGGATGGTGCGCATGTTGGGCGGGGCTTAAATACGTCACTCGATGAGTATTTTTAAATCTTTAACGTACTTTTTAATTATCTGCTGCTAAAATTCTTGTTTTTGCGATGCTTTTGGATGTTAACTCTATTTTTTGTTTAACTTGTTGTTTTTGTGTTCGGCAAGGTTCGAATTACTTTTCAGTGTTCAAATTATTGTTATTGCGTTGTGTTAACCTGTTCTGTTTGTTTATTATTGTTTTTGTGTTGCGTTAACTTGTTTTGTTTGTGTTTTAGTTTGTGTCGTGCCATTTGCATTTATTAAAATGCGGTGTGGCATATTTGGATGCCATTCGAACAACCAGTCCAAGAAAAACCCTTTTAATATAAACATTAAATTTAATCGATTCCCGAAAAAGTTTGATTTGTGGAAACAGGGAAACAAGGAATAGAAAATATTAACGTTAAGACCTCTTCTGTTTCCTATAAACATTTTCTGGACAGTGACTATAAGTTTAATTTAAAACACCAACGCTTAAACTACAGCCCTAAATGTTATTAAGGACTGAGAGCATCTATTATCCATGTTATAACACTTTCTTCAATATTAAGTTTAATAAAAACGCACTATGTCCAAATATTTCTCTATTTTCTTTGATAATATTACTATTATTCGTGTATTCTCACGGCAACTACTCATCAAGTGACGTCATGCGCGGAACGAACCAAAACTCGTACACGGGAGCATCCAGCCCTGTGTAGAAACTTTGTAATATTTTTTAAGGCACAAAACACAATAATTATTAATCATAACCTTATAAAATGGAGAGAGAAAAATTGTAGGCACATGCGCGGTTTAATTTTATTTATAATTCATAATTTATTTCATAAAAGTTAAATTTTGTGAACTTCCAAGGTTATTCAATAAACACTAAATTGTGAGTTACGCATTAAAACGTTGTATAAACTGTTTCATAGCAGATAGTGCGATTTAACTTTTATGCTTATGCACTAAATTGTGAATTATGAAATAAATTAATGATATGAAGTTGTATAAACCCGCCATTAGTTGGAAAAGTGAAATTTTTAAAAATTTCAAATGAAATTTTCAATTCGAAAATTTCAACATTGCCTGTGAAACTTTCAGAAATTTTATTGAAAGTTTCGCAATTTACTGAAAATATCGCATAAATTTCACATGCGGCCTCCCCTGGGACCTTTAATAATAATTTACAACAGATTCAGAATTGACCAATAAGAACGAGTTATCAAGCGTTTTTGTTTAGTTCGGCTTGGATTTGAATACACTATAAGTAATTATTGTTACTTATATGCATAAATTAATTTAAATAAACTGCTCGTCATAAAAATCGACGCACCTAGTTTTTTGGAAAATATTTTAAAGCTCGTTATTGGAAAATTACTGAATCGATTTTGAAAATCTTTGGAAATTCTGAATAGCTGATTCTTTGACTCCTATGTCAAATTTTGGGAATACGATATTTTGCACATAGCATTATACTACAGGGTGTTAAACAAAGAGATGTATTTTTTCCGAAATTTCAAGTTATTCCCATTCATGAGGCAGTTGAGTTTGATAGTCGAAATACCCCTCCCTAATATTAGTATGTTAATCCCTCGAAACGTTTTCGAGATTTTGTGAATATCGCGGCTTACTACGATTATATGCCAATTTATCGAAAATTGTCGTTATTTCCCAGTTTAGTCCAAAAAATGAGCAATAGTGGATTCTTTGACTTACGTCTTATTTTGAGAAAACAATATTGTGCACATAGCATTATACTACAGGGTGTTAAAGAAAGAGATGTATTTTTCCAAAGTTCCAAATCCCCACTCACAGGGCAGTTGAGCTTGATAGCCCTAATCCTCCTCCCTAATAACAGTTACGTAATCCCTCGGGACATTTTCGAGATTTTATGGATAACTTGGCTAACCACGATTGTACGGCAATTTTTCGAAAATTCACGTTATTCTTCATTTTAGTCCAAAAAATTAGCAATAGTTGATTTTTTTACTCTTATCTCTAATTTTGGGAATACAATATTGTGCACATAGCATTATACTACAGGGTGTTAAAAAAAGATAAGTTTTTTCCAAAATTCCAAATCACCATTCACATGGCAGTTGAGCCTGATATTCATAATACCCCTTCCTAGTAACAAGTAATCCCTCGGGACATTTTCGAGATTTTGTGGATATCTTGGATAACTACGATTGCATGGCAGTTTTTCGAAAATTCACGTTGTTCTTCACTTAAGTCCCAAAAATGAGCAAACTACTGAAGGTAGGTATCAACAAAGCGTTTTAAGGTAGGTTTATGTACGTTGCGTGATTTATTAAAAGTGAAATGTTTCACACAAAACCAATTTTTTTCGGTTAAATTCAAAATAAAAATGCAAACCAAACAAAATTATTCTCGTAAACTTATGCAGGCTATATTCATGCAATCGGTTGACTATGGAAGTTTAAAAAAATATGGCGCATATCTGGTTTGGAGCTTCCTTCCTTCAATTATTCTTGTCATTTTTGTCGTCAAATATGAAAAAAAATTTCAAACAGCAAATCACATTTAAAAAAATAAAATGTCGGATGTAAGGTTGCATACCACGCAAGACGAAGAGCTGCCTGCCCTCTTTTTCTGCTAGAAGAAGATGGGCACAAGAACATGCAAATTGGGGAAACGATGTGTTGGTAACTAATCGATACCTTTCGTAGTTTGCTCATTTTTGGGAATTAAGTGGAGAATAACGACAATTTTCGAAAAATTGCTATATAATCGTAGTTAGCCAAAATATCCACAAAATCTCAAAAACGTCCCGAGGGATTACCTAACTGTTATTAGGAAGGGGTATTAGGACTGTGAATGGGGATTTGGAATTTTGGAAAAAAACATCTCTTTTTTTAACACCTGCTATGTGCACAATATCGTATTTCTAAAATTAGATATAAGAGTCAAAGAATCAACTATTGCTCATTTTTTGGACTAAAATGAAGAATAACGTGAATTTTCGAAAAATTGCCATATAATCGTAGTTAGCAAGAGATATCCACAAAATCTCGAAAACGTCTCGAGGGATAACCTAACTGTTATTAGGAAAGGGTATTACGACTATCAAGCTCAACTGCCCTGTGAATGGGGATTTGAAATTTTGGAAAAAAAACATCCCTTTTTTTAACACCCTGTAGTATAATGCTATGTGCACAATATCTTATTCTCAAAATTAGATGTAAGACAAAGAATCCACTATTGCCCATTTTTTGGACTAAACTGGGAAATAACGACAATTTTCGATAAATTGCCATATAATCGTAGTAATCCGCGATATTCACAAAATCTCGAAAACGTTCCGAGGGATTACCTTACTTATATTAGGGAGGGGTATTACGACTATCAAACTCAACTGCCTCATGAATGGGAATAACTTGAAATTTCGGAAAAAATACATCTCTTCGTTTAACACCCTGTAGTATAATGCTATGTACAAAATATCGTATTCCCAAAATTTGACATAAGAGTCAAAGAATCAGCTATTCAGAATTTCCAAAAATTTTCAAAATCGATTCAGTAATTTTTCAATACCGAGCTTTTAAATATTTTCCAAAAAACTAGGTGCGTCGATTTTTATGACGAGCAGTTTAATTTAATTCAATTACCAATTTAATTTGTTAATCAAATCAGACTTTAAATTTTTTTTAAAAGTCATGATTAATTTAAACTTTTACTTTTGCTATAATTGCATCGGAAAACGGATAAAAAATGCCTTTGGCTCATAAAATTTTGATGAAGTTTCTTTAATTTTTGTAAAATTTCAGTAAAATATATAAAAATAATAAATATATATAAATATAAAACAATCTCATTAGGTTACCAAAAAGTGCTATATGTCTTTAAGTAATTTTAAAAATATTTTAAAAGGAAATCTCAAGAAATTTGTGGTAAACATAGGTATTTACTATTTATATTATTGGTGCAGGGGCCCACAGAGGGGTAGGAGGTAAGAGAGGCAATTTGCCATGGTCACCGAGTGGGCTTATTTCAATATTAATATATTACACTTAAAGTGATTGAAATTTATTGAAAGGTTCAATAAATTTCATGAAATTTCGGACATTTAGGAAATATTAATAAATTTCATAAATGTCGTGAAGATTTCAAGTGAAATTTCAAGTACAAGCAAAAAGTGAAATTTTCCCAACCTACTTGCAGGCCGATCTTCTCGCGCATCGTGTCGCTGTACACGGAGCAGAACGAGCTGCAGTTCGCCGTGCCCGGGGGGCTGATCGGGGTCGGCACCAAGATCGAGCCGACGTTGTGCAGGGCCGACAGGCTGGTCGGGCAGGTGCTCGGCGCGGTCGGCGCCCTGCCCAGCATCTTCATCGAACTCGAGGTGAGTTTTTGCTAGTTGTTTTGTTAGTGACTTTCACTCCAAATCATACCTTTAATTGCTATTTTTGAGATGTAGTCTTGGGTAATTTATTTGTTTGCGAAAAAAATATTAAATTCATTTTCAGAAATATGGATTTTGACAACTGAGTTGAACTCTTTTTTATTTACTCTTTTTGCTATCTTTTGATTTGTTTTTGGAATTATTTAGAAAAAAATTGAAATGCACTTGGTTTGAAAATTACAATTTTGTTTTTGTTAAATAGTAGACATGATGTAAGTTAAGAAACTCGGAAACGCTGTGAGTTGTAATATTTATTTTTTATTCAGGAATTATTCTTATGTGTTAACACTAAAGTGATATTTTCAATTAGGTAAAAAGTATCATATAAGAATATTTATTCTAAGAATTAAAAATATCAAAGTAGACATTTAAAAATTTAATTTATATTTTATTCCAAACTGATTGATTATTTTGCTGAAAAGTGGTCATTTTTGACGACTTTGAATCGCTGTATCTTCGTTGCTATTCATTTGATTTGTAAAAAAATTTCAGGGCATACTAACAAAAATACGGTCTTTAACAGCATATTTTTTATTTACTTAAAAAAATTACCCTAAAAGTTATTTTTCGAACGTTTTTTCGTAAGTAATATCATAAGGGCATTTAATTTTTCCGAAAAAAATCTAAAAAACACGTTGCTAAGTAATATTTTAACAAAAAGCATGAGTGCTGGTGGCAACAAAAATCCGAGTCGAAGAGGAGGATTTTTGCACCTGCATGAATGCATTTTGTTAAAAAATATTACTTAGCATTGTGTTTTTTCGATTTTTTTTTCACAGGAAAAATTAGATGCCCGAATGGTATTTGACAAGACCATGACTCACAGTTAACAATTAAAATATAAATTGAAATTTTTGTTGACAACAGCTGTCAAGTTTTGCCGCGGGTAAACTCGAATAAACTGCTGACAGGTGCTGTCACACAGTTTTTTCACCTAGAAACCATTTGTAATTCAAAATTGCGCGTTTGTGATTGGTGGAAATTAAGACGAGGGAAATAGTCATCTAAAAATCTCAAAACTAGAAACTCCAAGCTTCAAATTGCTTTTTTTACAGCTCCAATACGACCATTTTTAACAAAGATACAGCTATCCGAAAAAACGCAAAAAATTTGGAATTTTTTTTGATCTTTTAATTTTTTCCATTGGTGTATTATTAAAATTCTTGTGATATTTTTTTATCTAATTGAAATTATCACTTTAACACAAAATTAATTCCTGAATAAAAAATAAAACGGCGCCCCAATAGCCTAGTTAAATTTAAAAAGTTGTTATTAAAAATACATATCGCTCACCGCAAGTGAATGGGCGGCTGAAATCTTCAGAGACAAGATGTTGAATTAGGAGGATTATTTATCACACGAATTTTGATGTATATATTTGGTTTATTGTGTTTAATTTAATTGTATTTTCACTTATTCTTTTTTGACGTATCCTATATTACTTTGTAATCCTTCGGATAAATGAATATTATTATTATTATTATTCCCCCCCTTTTAACCGAATGCTGCTATAATGCGTCAGCTGTTAACACCAAAAATGATAAATACGGTATAATCAGCGAATTAAAAATATGTGTTTAGAAAAAAATACAAATATAAGAAGCAAATATTTTAAATTAACTAAATAAAAAATATCAGTTTGGCATAAAAATTAAATCTAATTTTTAATTTAGCGAATTAAAAATGTGTTTAACAAAAAAATACAAATAAAAGAAAAAGATATTTTAAATTCACTAAATTAAAAATATCTGCTATGGTATTCGCTGTAATATTATGTATCTCATAATAGTATATTAAAGAACTAATGTCATAAGACGTCATTTTGTCGCACGCGGACAATTTATAAAACGAGCGACGAAGGAGCGAGTTTTATAATGGACAAGTGCGACAAAAGGTCTTATGACATGAGTTCTTTATGCTATTTTATCTATTTTGCAAACATTTCATAAAACAAATTAATTTTATACCTTATATTTAATTTGGTGGAATTTTACTTTACATAGTTGGTATCACAGTTTGAAGTTTGAAAGGTCATTAACCTTTCAAACATTATCACATTCTTTCGCTATGGCGTCGTTAATTTACAATAAGTATTTACAATAAGCGGCTGTTAAAGAAGAAAAAAGGATTTTCTTTGGTGTTAAACAAAATTTATTGCACGAAAAGTCTCGTAAGTACTAGAAAACAAATCATAAAAATATTATAACCTATAGGTATTCAAAATTGTATTTTACCAGTAGCCAACCTATAAAATCAAAATTTTGGGTGGAATAAAGTACCTCATTAAAGAACCAAAAGCGGTGTTATAATGAAGTCATTATGAAACCAAAATAGATAAAAATAATTCCTGAATAAAAAATAAAAAGTATTGCGCCATTTATAATTAGGAATGCCAAGATTGTTAAAAACACAATTTAGACCAATTAAGTAGAACAGCAAATTTTTGAAGAGCATAAAAAAACAAATTACGAAATATCTAAACCCCATTTTTAAAGGTTTTAGAATGCTTTTTGAAGCAAGTTAAAAACATGTTTAAGAATATCCCAAATTTCCTTAAAGGTGAGTTACTACCTCCTCAAGCGTCTGCTGGGCGTGCGCATGGAGGGCGACAAGAAGGGCGCAAAAGTGCAACGCCTGACCAAAAACGAAGTTTTGCTGGTCAACATCGGTTCCCTGAGCACGGGCGGCCGCGTGGTGGCCACCAAAGCCGATTTGTGCAAAATCGCCCTCACCAATCCCGTGTGCACCGAGGTGGGCGAAAAGATCGCTCTCAGTAGGCGTGTGGAGAAGCATTGGCGTCTCATTGGCTGGGGCCAAATCCGCGGAGGGGAGACCATCGAGCCCTCCAACAACTAACCGAAAAAGCGTTTTTATTGTTGACCTATTAACTTTTTATTCGAGCTACACATTACTTATTAATCGTTTATATTTTATATCGGACTTTTGTTTTATGTTCTTAGGTTGATAGTAGGTTTTTCAAAGAATAAATACGTATAATAATGTGGTGTTTTATTTATTTAACCTAGTTTTTGGTAATATAAAGATGGCAAATTTTTGATTTCACAAAAAATCCAGATGGTTTTCCTGCTTATTTTTAAACCCCTCTAACAGTATGAAACAATTTTTTTCATTTTTCTCAAAATACCTAAACCAATAAAATCTTGCTGGATAAAAAAATAATTTTCTCAAAACTAATTAAAAACTAGTTTTAAACTAATTAAACAAACTAGTTAATTAGAGATTTTTATTGGTACTGCTCAAAACACCAAAAACCAATAAAATTTATCAGCATGTTAGTTACAAAGAAAAATGCAACATTTCAATTTCACAAAAAAAATTCCAGATAATTTTCGTGCTTGTTTTTAAACCCCTCTAAGGGTTTATGAAATATTTTTTTTCAAAATTGACATTGTCTCTTTCTGAAAAAAAATTCTTAGTGGTTTTTTGTTGGTACTTTTCAAAATATCAAAAACCAATTGATAAAATCTATCAACAGGAAGTTACAAAGAAAAATGCAAATTTTCGATTTTACGAAAAAAAAAAATTCCTGATGGGTTTTCTGCTTGTTTTTAAACCCCTCTAACAGTATGAGACAATTTTTTAAATTTTTTCTCAAAATACCAAACCTATAAAATCTTGCTGGATAAAAAAATAATTTTCTCAAAACTAAATAAAAACTAGTTTTAAACTAATTAAAAACTAGTTTTAAACTAATTAAACTAGTTAATTAGAGATTTAAAAAACCTTAAAATTTAGTTTTTGGGTTTTTAAATGAAGCGAAACCCATTGGCAACAATTTTTTATAAGAAATCAATTCTTAATTGTGAAATAAATAAAAAAAAAATTAAAGGACCGTCACTTGACGTGACAAATTAAACCAAATAAAATTGCTATTTTTACTAAAAAATTTTAGTCTGATTATTACAAAAAAATCGAACAAAATATTTTTAGGAGGTAGGGGAGTTTAATAATTCGTCACATGACCCTTTGGGGGTCAATTTTGACAATTTTTGAAAGAAATTGAAAAAAAATTCTAATTAAAGAATGGTTGAAGATATTTAATCTTTTTTTAGTTTTGTGTTGCAAAAAGAAATAGAAAAACCATAAATACATTTTTGTAAAAAATATTTTTTCCAAAAATAAGTCTTACTTTTAAAGTACCTACCAAAATGCAATTTTCTTTAAACCATCATCAGTTTTTTTGGTAGATTTATAGATTGTAAATAAAAATAAATAATGTATTGCAGTTTTTGGTTTGTAGGTGTCATGTTACTTTAAATTAGAAAATAACAGATATACAGTGTCTCAGATTTTAATTGAAAAAATGTACTGACCATTTAATTTTGCCAATTCAAATCTGAGACACCCTGTGTATTGTTATTAATAAATTTGTGTTTTGCAAATTGTACATTGCAATTGATAGATTTGGTATTTTTTGTTGCCCCTTCAATTGCTATTTTTTTGCAATAAACTTAATAAATTTCAAAAATTAAAATAAGTTAAAAAAATATGTAAAATTCAATTTATAGGTATTTTTTCAATATGTTATTTTACTTTTATAATAATTATTATCACTTTATTGCTACTAAGATTGATAAAACAAAGGATATATTTTTTGGGTTTTGTATAAAAACCAAATTTATTTGTAAAAGTCAATGTATATAAATAAATTTGTGCTATATATTTACATTATATAAAACTTGTAAATTGGAATTATTTAGACTAACTTGATATGCAGACTTATGCAAAACATATACACAGTAACGTTTCATTAAACCATGACCTCATAAATAATTCTAAAATAAAATTGTGGACTACTTCTCCTTATTTGTTGAGAATTCATGTTTTAAAAATCTCGATAATTGAATAAGTTGTGCACCTTCATTTGTAAAATGACAGGCAAACAGCAGCATGTTTCTTGGTTGCACTTTTAGGGCAAATCTCATGAACATGGCAGAATATAAACATAAAGCTAGAAAATCAATCAATTAGTTATATAGTGATTAACATAATTATTTCACTAACCGACAGTCATTTTTCCACTAATATATTTGGGGTCCTTGTTGATGTCAGCAATCGCAGCAATAGGTATTCCCCAATTTGCTACAGGCCCCCAAAAATGCGTGCTAAAAAGATTACACTAAAACACGTAATAAATTCCATATAAATACATACCTCAACAAATAATTTCTGAACTCCTTCGATTTCAAGTTGTCTGCTAGTCTTTTTCCTATAGAACCCATTGTTTTGTTCGTATATTACTTTAACAGAAATTAAAACGCATAGGATTTTAAGAGCCTTCGCAAAAGAGGAATAACTTTTCAAAGTGACATTCAACCCAGCATGCTGTCAGCGCTGTTGCCCTTGTATTGCATAATGCTATGATAGCAATGGCAACACCTGGATTTTTTTTAAATTATCAAATTTCTCTTAATAACCATTAAAAAAATACAGAAAATTAAAAACAAATATTATAAAAAAACAATTTAGTTAATATAGTTTTAAAATATTGTCCTCTTTTGTATAAATTAACAAAATAAAAAACAGCTTTGGTGTCGCCATCTATATTTTACGGTTTTATCTATAAAATGACATTCCTTAAATGTCAGTTTGATTTCCCAGACTATTACAAACATGTCATTGTGTTTAAAATGACTTTAAAATTGATAATCATTAAAAATACACATTTGACAAAACAGCTGTGATAAAACTGCGAATTATCGCCGCCAGAGGCCAGAGATAAAGAAGGTCACGGCAGTCGTAAATGGCGCCAAGAAGCGTTAAAAACAGTGTTTGTTTACAAAGCATCTTAAAATGAAGGAAAAATCGAAATCCTTGGGAAATGATGTGTCTAATTCAAACTTGACTGATGTTTCCGGAGACGAGGGGGTATGTTTGACGCTTTTGGTGCATGTTATTAAATATAATTATTATTATAATAGTACAAACCAAATAAATCTGTTACCGGACCCATGTATTATAACAATCTTGTAAAAATATCCACATTTTTGTGTTTTCCTAAGAATGTCAACTTAAGCTAGATATGTAAAACTCTCTTTAGATTATAAAGAGAGTTTTACATATCTTAACTTTAAATTTATAGCTGTCTTCAAGATGAGATATGAACTTATTAGTTTTTCTCTCATAACTTTAGGATGAAACTTCCAGTGTAGGTAGCACTTCTACAACAGATAACACTTCAAGGAGTGCAACCCCCACAAACCGCGCTAAAAAAAAACGTAAAGGTAAAAAGAAAAGTTTGTCGGCACAGAAGGTACTGAAACCCATATACAAATTTACCTGCAGTATCAAAGAGGACCATGGGCAGCCCCTGTTTGGTGTGCAATTCAATCACCACGTTAGAGAAGGTGAACCTTTCATATTCGCTGCAGTGGGCAGCAACAGAGTCACTTTATATGAATGTCCAGAAGGGAATGGAATAAAATTAGTGCAATGCTATGCAGATCCTGACTTGGACGAGAATTTCTACACATGTGCATGGTCCCATGATGATTTTGGGAAACCTCTATTGGCCGTGGCAGGTTCTAGAGGGGTTGTGAGAATTTTGCAACCATCTACGATGAGTTCTGTGAAGCACTATATCGGACATGGGCATGCAATTAACGAGCTGAAATTTCATCCAAAGGATCCAAATTTATTACTCTCTGTTTCCAAGGATCATTCCCTTAGATTGTGGAATACTAAGAGTGATGTTTGTATTGCTATTTTTGGCGGGGTTGAAGGTCACAGAGATGAAGTTTTAAGCGCGGTAAGTCAAAAATTTATTGTCAAATGTCATTTATATTATATTATTAATTAGGTACCTAATAAGAATGTAAAAAACATCTTAAAAATCTTTAAATATTTTTTATCAATGTCAAAAACAATTTTAAACATTAAATTTTAATGTTTTAAAAGTCTAAAACCTATCCTCCGTGACTGTTACTCTTTCTAGGTTAACCTATATGTTTTCAAATATCTGAGGTAGTAAAGGCATACTAAAAATATCAGTTCACTAAGTAAACTAAGCACATCCAAAGCAATTGAATTAAATATAAAATTATTAAAAATTAAAAGAAATAATTTTTATAACCATTTATGTAGGTGTTACAAAAATTGATACTATCCTCCGTGAATCTGTTTTTGCTTTAAATTTTATGCAACGGATGGCGCTTTAATCATTTTAACTAACCAAAAACCTCTGTTTACGACATTATAGATGGATGTGATTCCTGAAGGTCAGTTAGAATTTATATGCAGATTAGAGTGATGTACAATAATTGTACATACATAAAATATTTATAAAAAAAATTTACTTACTGAGAAATTACACTTCAAAGTGGATTATTGTATTTTTAAAAAATATTAAGGTGTCAAAAGATACATTAACTTATTTGAAATATTCAAAGGGATGTTTAAAAAAAACATACTAAATCCTAACCTCCGCGAAGTTACCTTCCGTGAAGCTTTAATATTCAAAATGTATGATTTCTTAAAATTTTTGCATTAGTGCAGAACCACTTATGTTATTACTAGACCTGGTGGCTTCCCAAAAACCCCATTCTAGCCTAACAGTGAAACATCCAAAAATAAAAAATAATCATTTTCACTTGGGGGACATCTCAATATATTTACCCATTCACGTTTTTTATAACAATATTTATTTTTTGATTTTTATTGCTTAAAAAGTCTGTTTTCGATTTTTTTCGATTTTTTCTAGCTAAACTTGTTTAATATACAGGGTGTCCCAAAATCACCAGATCAAGTAATGTTTTAACAATAAAAATTATATTTTGTCCTTTTTAACTTAATATTGTAATATTAAGTTATACCCCTTTTATTCTAAAGCCCTAAATTGTTTTATAAATAACTTATATTATAATAAACTTTTTTCATATAAAACATTAATATTATTAATTAATTAAATAATTAATTTGATATTACTTAAACTCAACATAGTTTGATTTCCGTTATCAGTTGCATGTTTATTTTAATTTGGTTCAATATAATATATATATATATATAGATATCTTTATTATGATCTTGTATTATCTTGTATCTTGTATTCCAAGCTTTTAGAACATAGGCAACCCAGATAACAAGTAAGAGGTAGGACAGTGAAATTAAATATTAATATGCAGTGAAAAATGTATTAAGCCGAACTGTGTTATGTGTTACAATATATACTAATCTAATAATACAGGGTGTAACATAATGGTTGGACAAAAATTAAACGGTGTATTCCTTGAACAAAATATTTTTTTGGATTTTTAAATTCTCTTTTACTAAGGAACCCACTATTTAATTTGTTCCCAATAACCAATCAATTAATGTTCAGGACAGAATTCCTAAAATCACATGGTCTTTTTAACAATAAATTGACATTTTTGAGCAACAAAAAATAATTCTCAAAACTTGTAAAGTACAGGGTGTTATGTAATTATTGTAATATATTAAAATACTGAATACCTTTTTACATAAATTATAACGGAAAAATATTTAAAAAAATATTTTCCCAAAGAAAAAATATGCATTATAAGTTTTTTTATATTTTTGTGATAAGCCACTGATTACAAACTTGTGTTCTGTGAGTACATAGATACCAACCAACAAAGTAGCTGCGCGTTGCCAGTTGTACAAAATTGTACCTAAAAATTTTTCTTGCAAAAATAAAATTAAACTCAATAAATACAAAAGTTTTGTACCCTTCTGCATTTACTTACTCATCCACCTATTAGCTTAGCAAATGATTAAAAAATTTAGTACCTATTTTAAAAACTCAATAACCACAAAATTAATTTTTTCATCGTTTTTTTTTCTGTCTGTTTACTCAGATGAAACAATTTGTGTAAATAAATCCAAAAGCACTTCCCTTAGTTAAGATGTTTACAATTTGAACACATAACCTAAAATTTGAAAGGAATGCACTAGATTCTGTCAGTTGCAAAAATGACATAATATACAATTAATAAAAACGCCAAATTAACAATTTGCATTGTTGATTTTGTCATTTTTGTAACTAAGTTAAATTTAAACAAAATTTGGCAACTTTTTTGACAGAATCTGTAAAGGTTGGTTGTTACCAACCATAACATAATAAATTAAATTAGGCAACCAGATTAGCCTAAAGTTCCTTGTCAATCATTGGCGTACTTTTTGGTAGGTGCTTCTTTATGGACCCTAAGGAACTACCCATTTTAATATATTACATTAATTAATTAATTAATTATTATTCAACCAAAAATTATTTGTTCTGTCCATTCTCTAAACCTTTTTAAAAGTGTTTTGTTCTAGTTTGCAATAGTGCTTAAGCGCCTTGTGATATAAGCCATTTACTTAAATTATAAAATCAAAAATGTTTAAAATTAACATTTTTATAATTGTGGCATTGCATTTCTTAGCCACTTTTTTGTTTAAAGAGAGCCACGTAAGAGTAAATGGATTTATAAATCTAAAAAAAATGTGAAAGTAAAAAAATATATTTAAATACCTAGTCTAATTAGTTTACCACTATCAAAGCATCAATTTTCATCACATAGATGGGTCCAATAGAGAAATACAAAGGTATTTGAGCTCTACGGATTAAAAAAAGTAAGTTTTTTTTGACATCTGACTCATATGTGCTCCATTCCGACTCAAAAGCAGCTTGAGCTATGTTTTGACTCTAAAAATATTGTTTTTTAAGGGTGTAACAATTTATACCTATATACTATATAGGTATAAATTGTTATATAGTATATAGAAAGACTCTATTATATATATAATAAGTACAGAATTATTAAACGCTTCAAAAATAGATAGTATACAAAACACGGCGGAGAAAGCTTATAAACTGCAATGTTGCAAATGGTAGGGAAATTTCCGTAGATCTAGGTAAAAACGAAAATTTGTAATAAAATACGCATACTTTAAAAATTCTCCGTGCCCACCCCAAAAGATGTGCCTAAGCAATACCACCTGGAATTGTTTTATTTATATGTTAACTTTTGCTTCCTTATCACAAAATTCTTTGCCTGCCCTTAGGTACCCCTATCCACACTTTTATAATAATATAATAAATATAATAATAACTATAATAAGTACAGAATTATTAAACGCTTCAAAAATAGATAGTATACAAAACACGGCGGAGAAAGCTTATAAACTGCAATGTTGCAAATGGTAGGGAAATTTCCGTAGATCTAGGTAAAAACGAAAATACGCATACTTTAAAAATTTCCTGTGCCCACCCCAAAAGATGTGCCTAAACAAAACCCCCTGGAATTGTTTTATTTATATGTTAACTTTTGCCCCCTTATCACGAAATTCTTTGCCTGCCCTTACGAACCCCCTATCCACGCGTATAATTTAACTTATAAACTCTTAGTAAAATACGCAAACTTTAAAAATTCCCCGTGCCCACCCCAAAAGATGTGCCTAAACAAAACCCTCTGGAATTGTTTTATTTATATGTTAACTCTGGTCCCCTTATCACGTAATTTTTTGCCTGCCCTTGCAAACCGCCATCAACACATACAATATAGAACTGTAGACTATAGAAACATTTTTATAAAATACGCAAATTTAATATTTTACACCAATACATGTTTCTCAATAAAGCATCCTTGAATTGAATTTAACTTTTAATGGTATTAATACCATTGCACAAATTGCTGTTTTGCCTTGCTGTTCTAACCTCACTTTTTAAGTCTTACAAATTACTTGAAATACACGAAGTTTAAAAGGTCTCTGTCTCTATATCCCTGTGTCTACTTGTATTTAAATCTTAATTTTTAATCGCGAGCTTGATAAATTGCTGTTAAAAGATATTAAATTAAAACTATACACAATTTTATAAATAATCAACCCACTGTGCGCTGCGCGCTCTAGCGGCCGACCGCGAACCTGTTTAGGAATGTGTGGCTGGAGATGTGTGCACAACTTCACACAAACATTTGATATTTTTAATCTAATTAAAAATATCACTTTTGGGTTAATTCATAATAATAATTTTAGTGTTTTAGTTTTCATTTTGTAGTGAATTTCTAGGGATTTTTTATTTTTACAAGTACATTTTTAGAGAATTTCTAGGAATAAAAAAAAATTCTAGAGAATTCATATTTTTGAACCTGGCAACACTGATTAACTCGCTCAAGCGCTTTCTCCACCTGTTAGATAATGTACAATTATTTAAAAAAATAGTTTAACTAATTTGGGTACCAATACGCTAAAGAAGTATCGCTAGTAGCGCCACCACTACGCTGTTATCATCATCGTAACAAAAGTACAACTTTTAATAATCAGCTGTCAAACGCTTATGTTACAAACGAGTGTTTTTGAGAATAAAGCCGGAAAATGTTAAAACACATTGAAAAAAGAACCTTGGCACGATTTGTTGTGTTGTTGGGTGTATTTCGAGAAGAAATCCTGGGTTGAGTTTTTATCGGTTTTCCAATAAACAGTGTTAATCCGAATGAAGAAATAAATTTCATACAGTCCCTGTAAATATAAATTGTATCTATTAAATACAATAAATACACATTTTAGTGATGATTAAAAAGTGTAAACATTTCAATTCAGTAAAAATCGTCAAACAAATAAGTCGTCTAAATTCAAACAGCATTTAGCATTATTAAAAGCGTTGATTAAGAATTCTTTAAAGTCTCCACTCGACGGTAAAATACCATTAGTATTATACAGGGTGTCCGGGAAAAGGAGGTCAATCCGTTAACCATATATTCTTTGAGTTAAAACAATAAGACTTTCATAATACCATTTTTTAATTTAGAG